TAACCCTATACCCTGTTCGGCCTTACGACTGACCAGTAGGACCTCTGTCTTGTCTGGATTCATTTTCAATTTGTTAGCTCTCATCCAGTCCGACACAGCAGCTAGACACCGATTCAAGGTCTGGACAGCCTCCTTGGTGACAGGTGAGAAGGAGTGACAGATCTGGACATCATCTGCATAGAGATAACATCTCAGTCCGAAACTCCGAATGATCTCCCCCAGCGGCTTCATGTAGATGTTAAACAACATCGGGGACAGAATTGAACCCTGAAGGACTCCACATGACAGCGGCTGTGGGGCCGAACAGGTGTCACCCAGTAACACCTTCTGGGACCGTCCTCAAGAAAGGACTGGAGCCACTGCAAGGCAGAACCCCCAAGTCCCATATCTCTGAGGCGTCCCAGAAGGATACCGTGATCGACGGTATCGAAGGCCGCTGAGAGGTCCAGCAGAAACCAACAGGGACACACTCCCCCTGTCTAGTTCCTGGCATAGATCATCTACCAAGCGACCAAGGCTGTTTCAGTACCATGTTCCGGCCTAAAGCCAGTGTGCCAGATCTAGATAATCAGTGTCTACCAGAAATCCCTGGAGTTGTGCTGCCACCACACGTTCCAGGACTTTGCCCAAATAGGGGAGATTGGAAACTGGCCGATAGTTGTCTAATTGAGTGGGGTCCAGTGATGGTTTTTTCAACAGCGGTTTGATGATAGCTTGTTTTAAGCTCGCTGGAATCTTGCCCTCCTGTAAGGAGGCATTAACCACCACCTTCACCCACTCTGCCAAACCCCCTCTGGCTTCTTTTATCAGCCAGGATGGGCAGGGGTCTAGGATGCATGTGGTGGGTCGCACCTCTCCAAGGATCCTGTCCACATCCTCAAGCTGAACCAATTGAAATGAATCCAACAAAACCTGACAAGCAGATGCTCTCGTTACATTCTCAGAGACTGCAGGTAAAGTGGTGTCAAAAACCGACCGAATCCGCACAATTTTATCTGCGAAAAATCGAGCAAACGCTTCACAGCGAGCTCCAGAGCTGTCAGGGATCTCGCTTTTCGGCGGGTTTAACAGACCCCTGACAACTCGGAAGAGCTCAGCTGGACGATTCTTCGCAGATGCAATATTGGCAGCAAAAGATGTTTTTTTTGTGCTGCCGCTATTGCCACATCGTAGGACCTTAGAAAGGCATTCAGCATTGAATGTTTGCCATTGTGTATTTTGTTGTATGCCAAGTCCCTTCAGGGAGATAGTGTGGATTATAAATAAAGTTTTATTTCATTTCATTTCACATCACAACTTTCCGAACATTTCATATTGGTTGCACATTTTTAGACATGCATCATTTTGCAACACGATAATTCAGTTTTCTAGCAAATCAAAGGTTATACCCGACCCCTTACAATAGATAGGGACACATACATAAATTATAACAGCGGGAAGTATGGGGACACAACATATCTTGTGAAAACCTTTTATTTATATTATGAAAATATATGATTTATTGCTTATTTTACATAGACTCACAGGTTGCTTGTTACATTTGTGTGACACACATACATACTGCAGCTGATAAACCAACATGTCTCAGCACATCGTTTGGAAAGCTCTGGTGCATATCCTCACTATGCACATCACCAACACTTAATTTTACCTAATTTAAAGAAGCAATAAAAGGAATGCATCTATTTTTGTTGGCCTTCCAGCTGTGGTGGGAACCTTTAAAGCTGATTCTCCAGTATGAAATTAATTTGAAAGGAGTTATTAAAAGAGATGCTGTCTCCAGTCTTCCTGGCCCTTTGACATATTCCAAACCTACGTATAGCAGATCTGTCCTCACCTTGGAGCTGGTGTAGATTAATTTTTCCCTCAGTGCCAGCCGCTGACATCAATCTGAAATAATTTCTCTCTGTCCCTCTGTATATGCATATATTTTAAGAAGTTAGGAGAAGAATTCAAACGAAGTAACACAAGTCCCCTTGGGTGGTGTAGTGGGTTAAACCGCTGAGCTGCTGAAATTTCTAAATGAAAGGTGGTGGTTCAGATCTGGGGAGCAGGGTGAGCTCTCGCTGTTAGGCCCAGCTTCTGCCAACCTAGGAGTTCTAACGCATGCAAATGTGAGAAGATCAGTAGGTACCGCTTCTGCAGGAAGGTAATAGCTTAATGCAGCCATGCCTGCCACATGATCTTGGAGATGTCTACGGACAACCGGCTCTTTGACTTAGGAATGGAGATGAGCACCACCTCCCCACCCCCCACCCCGAGTCGGACATGTCTAGACTTAACGTCAAGGGGAAACATTTACCTTTACTTTTAATCAAATACTTCCTCGCCTTTTCCGTATTTGCCTAAATCATGAAGGGCCTTGGCATTGGACCTTTCTTGCTTTTCTTTAACCTCATTGATCCTATCAGAGTCTCTAGCCAAAATAGATTTTATAGGATTTTTAAAAATACTCGCAGCTGTCCCTTAGAGAGAAGCACATACCAAGAAAACCAGTAACATTGCAACGGTAGATGAGTGAGTGGGTTTTCATGAGTTGCTTGTGATGGTTTGCTGATGCTTATGTTGAGTGACAACACATTTTCTCCCTCATGTGCACATGGCGTTTTAGGAACTGTGTTAAAGCTTATGTTTTGTTAGAATTTTTTTTAGACTCTTGTCGGCTAACACAAATGCATTGCAATTCAAAATTACGAAGTGGTTATGCTCATTCAAACCTAATTTTGATTTGCAGTAGTAAAATAGTTGAGACTCTTCTTTTGTTCCTAGTTAAAGGATTGACTTTATCTAATGAAATGAACTTAAGAGGAGAGCTTTCCAAACATTTCATGTTGGTGGCACACTTTTTTAGGCATGCCTCATCTTGCGACACAGTAATTCAGTGTTACTAGCAGAATTGAGGATAAATCAACCTGTGCTGTCGCACGCTGGGCCTGTGCATTAGACTGTACACAGGACATACATTCTGTGTGCCCAACGGGACACCGGGGCTGCCTCAGATTAAAGGCCCTTAGATTCCCCCAAACAGAGTCTTTAGATGCTTAAAGTAAATCCAACAAAGTTCTTTATTGAGGAACAAACAGGTACTTTAACGGTTTTCTTAAGTCTATAGGCTCTTTCAATCTTGTCCACTAGGAACAGGCACTGTCTTCTCAACTGTAACTAACTGATGGGGAAATCCTAGCTTCTAATCTGGGCAGTCTGTACTTGCCTCTGTTGACGTGGAGCCCCTGCACCCGGTACCAACTGCGTCTGGCTTCCGCGAGTGACCCTTGCCTCAACAGAGCTTTGTAGACCTCCAGGGAAAAAGAAGGAGTTCAGGTTGCTGTGATGGCCGGCTGGAGTCCCTCAGCCAAGCTGTGGCTGTATGTCTCCTGGCCAAGCCGTAGGGCTGTATAACCCCGGCCAAGCTGTAAAAGATGAAGCTTTTCTACAGGAGCCACTTCGTTCTATGTCCTGTGCGAAAGGCTTCTCTGTGAGAACTAACTCAAAATGGCTCCTGTTCCCTCCAAAACTCAAAAAGGGGCGGGACCAGGGAACCTAACTATAACTGGCAGGTGGCTTACCCTATAAATGCAAATTATAACAGGAAACCCCCTGCTGCAAAATCCCAAGCATGGGATTGCACACAAACATTTAAACACAGCAAATAAATCTGGAGCTCCTGGAACAGCTGTTCCAGAACACAACCCCTTATAAGAGATACTGATCCATATAAATAAAAAATGTAATGTTTGTTTGTGGGACTAACATAACTCAAAAACCACTAGGCGAATTGATGCCAAATTTGGACACAATACACCTATCAGGCCAACGAGTGACCATCACTCATGAAAACACTGGAAAACACAGCAGAAGAGACTTTAAAAGCCAAAAAAATAGAAAATACATTGCGATGCATGCGCATAACCACATTGTTCCCATGACATTAAGTCCAGTCGTGTCTGACTCGGGGGGGGGGGGGGGGGGGGGTGGTGCTCATCTCCATTTCTAAGCCAAAGAGCCGGCATTGTCCATAGACACCTCCAAGGTCATGTGGCCGGCATGACTGCATGGAGCGTTACCTTCCCACCTGATCGGTACCTATTGATCTACTCACTTTGCAAGTTTTCAAATTGCTAAATTGGCAGAAGCTGGGGCTAACAGCGGGAGCTCATGCCGCTCCCCAGATTCGAACCTGCGACCTTTCGGTTAGCAAGTTTAACAGCTCAGCGGTTTAACCAACTGCGCCACTGGGGGCTTCGGCATAACCACATGTGTATTTATGCATAACCACATAAATACACATATACACAAATATATACACACAAAACACATATGGGCCACAGCAATGCGTGGCAGGGGACGGCTAGTACATACATAAATTGTAATAACAAAATGTATGGAGACACAACCTATCTCATATATATATATATATATATATATATATATATATATATAATATGACTTATTGCTTGTTTCACATATACACACCTACACATTGCAGCCGATACATTAACATTATGATACAGAATTTGGAAAGCTCTGTCTTTGGGCCCTTTCACACAGCCATATAACCCAAAATATCAAGGCAGAATAACCCACAATATCTGCTTTGAACTGGAATATCTGAGTCCACACTGCCATATATTCCAGTTCAAAGCAGATAATATGGGATTTTATTCAGCTGTGTGGAAAGGGCCTTAGAGACAAAAAAGATTTAAAGATGTTTTGAATGTAATATATGATGTGTTCACTTCTCCCCTTTTCCTCCAGTGAAGAGACCAAACATGTCAGGAGTCAAGAGGACTATAGAAGAGATGGACCCAGATTATGAAGAGATTTCAGTCGTGCATTCAAATAAACATCACAAAGCAGCTGAACAATCAGGTAGAGATTCGCTTCCAAATTAAGACATGGAATTCAGAGAAGAGACGTCTGTCTGAGTGTAATGGATTGGCCAAACGTGCAAAGAGTTGTTTTATGTCTCACACCAACTCAGATTACATTCAGTTTTTATTAGTGTGAAGTCGAAGAATTTGATGGCTCAAGAAACGCATCCCCATATTTTATTTGCACTTGAGCTGCAATAACATTGTGTAGTGTTTATGGCGGTGTCACATCCATACTGCTTACTATAAGTGCAAATAATGGGAACAGCAGGGAGTTGTGGTGAATAAGCAACTTTGGAGGAGAAAGGTATTTTCATTACATTGACAATGTGGGAGGTTAAGTCTTTTATAAAATTCATCCTAGAGTCATATTCCTGATTGCATGCAGAGATGCTATTGATCATTTTCAAAATATATATAGGCAGTCTCTAAGTTATGAACAAGTTAGGTTCTGTAGGTTTGTGCTTAAGTTGAATTTGTATGTAAGTTGGAACAGGTGCATTTTAAAAGTGTAACTCCATATATATATATATATGATCCAATGTGTGTGTGTACACACACACACAAACACATATTCTTTGGATCGCATACAGAAGGGTTAACACACCTGTGGTGTTTGTTTTGCTGCCTGGGTCCCTGTTCAAAAGATTTCACCTCCCTGGGATCATTGGGTTTTGAAAAATTTGCCTTGTTGTGGAAACAAGGATTGAAAATAAAGCTTCAGTGGAGATACCTTTTCCCCATGATAACTCTTCCAGGAGTGATTTTCCTTTCTCAGGGGTGGATTTCCTCTCACTTCCTGTTGTCTTTCCCTTGTTCTTAATGATGAGTTGTTTATAAATTAGATGTTTGTAACTCGAGGACTGCCTGGACATACACAAATGCTCATTCATGCATTTGAAAAACTATCTAGAGTCAATGTAGATAGTTCAGCATATTGGTTCTTTTGTGGATTTTGCAGACTTTGTGTCCAAAGAGATTCTTGATAGAGATTTCAGGGGCAAAGCAGACTTGGCAACTGGATGTCTTTTGAATTACCGTATATACTCGAGTATAAGTCGACCCAAATACAAGCCGAGGCACTTAATTTTACCACAAAAAACTGGGAAAACAGATTGACTCAAGTATAAGCCCAGGATGGGAAATGCAACAAATATTGGTAAATTTCAAAATAAAAATAGATACCAATAAAATTATATTAATTGAGACATCAGGAGATTAAATGTTTTTGAATATTTACATAAAACTGTAATTTTTACATAAAAGTTGCACACCCTTCCAATAAAAATAAATAGAGTAAAATAATAAATGTAATAATAACAATAATAATGAAGAGTAAAATAAATGTAATAATAACGACAATAATAAAGTAAAATAATAAATGTAATAATAATAATAATACATTTATCACGTATTTATAACAGAGTAAAATAATAAATAACCTTGACTCGAGTATAAGCCGAGAGGGACTTTTTCAGCCCAAAAAACGGTCTGAAAAACTAGACTTATACTCGAGTACATACAGTATTTGGCCAATGACATCTATAATCCCCAAATGTGGATTACTGTGTTTTGAATGTGTAGTCTAGAATAAGTGTGCCAACTTGCCCACCACTGGATAAAGTGACTAGCAGTTATATTTGTACAGTCTTGGAAACCTCAATCTGTTATTATCTTGTTGAAATACATAGATTAGTTTTAGATTATGTTTTGTAAGGCCCTTTTGTGTTTTTATTCCTTCATGGAACATTTAACATTTACATTTTTGCCTTATTTCTTTCACAAACCTGGAACGGGAATGCAAATGTAATGTTAGAAGTGCCCTAAAATGTCTTCTATATAGGAATCATCATCCTCTTTCTTGACTTTTTTTGTGTGCACAGCTCGAGATGCTGCCGTGCAAAAGATTGAGGCTATTATTAAAGAGCAATTTTCAGTCGAAATGAAGAATAAAGAACATGAGATTGAAGTTATAGATCAGGTATATAGACCTCATTCTTGTGATTCATTGTGATGGGAAGCAGGGGCCCGTTGCAGTGACTGTTTTTCAAAACGAGTGTTCGCTCTCTTTCTTACAGCGCCTTGTCGAGGCAAGGAGAATGATGGATAAACTGCGCGCCTGCATTGTTGCAAACTACTATGCCTCTACTGGTCTTCTTAAAGTTGGAGAAGTAAGCTTTATTCTAACAGAGCTTTTTTCCTTCCTAAAAGGTAGTGGATGGCTTGTCAAAAAAAAGATTCTCTTGGCTGATTTCTGAACACTTTGTATAATTTTTGAAATGCAGACTTTGTGGAGAGAGGGCACAAGGCCTGGGGAATATACCTCCCTCCAGGTGTTAATCACCCCTGTACTAAAGTATTTGTCAATTATATTTTAGATTTGTTTGGTTTTCTTGTGGTTTGCAGTACTTTATGCCCATCCAGATTTCTTCCCATTGTGTCATGAGTATGTTATGTCCGATGTCCTTTGCCCATTTTATTTGACATTCTTTATCTGTTCTTCTTCAGTTGTCCATTTTAAAAGTTGTTGATATAGTAGCCTGATTAATTTTTCACCTTTGCAAAATTGTGTCCCAAAGACCAGGATCTTGACTGAAACCAATCTTTTCATCCTCCTTATACCCTTGGTGGATTTGGAAGTATTGGAACCATGTTAATTTTTCATTTATTTGTTTAATCTCTTCGAATGTTTTCAACAGTAGTTTATTATTGTTTGTTTTTAAAAAATATTTGTTGATAAGTTAACCAATTCCCTTCAGCCAGTTCCCTCTTGTGTCTGGCCTCTACTGGGGAGATCCACATTGGAGTTTTATTGTATAGTCTTACTTTATATTTCTCCCATGTTTTTATTAGAGTCTATCATTGAGCAGTATTTAAATGGCCTACCTGATGTCTTATTTCAGGGGACCAAGGCATGTGATCCCATGGTGTTTAACCATCCTTCTATCAAGAAGTTTTTGGAATCTCCCTCCCGATCATCTTCTCCTGCTAATCAAGGGTCAGAAACTCTCTCCGTTATCCATTCAGAGAGTGAGTCATCTCAGCACACAGACATTTTGACGGGAAAGGACAGTGTCAACCTGGATGCAGAAGAGAGATTGTCAAACAAGCTCAGCCAAAGATTGAGCAAGAATTCTGGTCAGGTAAAATAAATGTGTTTATACCAGATGAGAACAAATACATTTTTTTTTGTTTGTTTTCAGACCACTGATGGCAATCAGCCATTATTTGCTTCTGAGAGCATTTTTAGATCCCACAGAGATTGTTTCCATGATTTGGGTCTTTAAAAAAAGCTCTGTTAGCACTACGGCAAGAAAATGTTCAATTTCTCTTAGCTATTTGTTTCCTGCTGATGTAGCATTGTGTAATTTCATATTTGCTGTGTTTTGGTTTTGGCTTCATTGTTCATATCATTTTGCTGCTTCAAGTTGGCACATTATTTGTCTTTCTTGACACATTCTGAATAGAGAGAAGGCTGGGAAAGAGTTTCCTTATCATACCATGTTCTTGTATGTAGTTTTCCTTATTTCAATGTGTTGTCAAAGGATTTCATGTCCAGAATCACTGGGCTGCTGTGAGCTTTATGGACTGTATGGCTATGTTGCAGAAGCATGCTCTCCTGACAAAGAAACAATCAGGGCCAGATAACACCTCCCAACAAAGGATGCCTCCAAGCAGGAAGCAGCCAAGCTTTGAAGCTGCAAGGCCATTCAATGCTAATCAAGGTGGCCAACTACAACATTCACACTTTCCTCCAACAGACAAGAGTTATTTCTCCCATTCCAAAAATATATAAATCTCACTTATCTGGTTCCCAATAGACGTCACAATCTCCGAGGATGCCTGCCATAGATGTGGGCAAAACACCAGGAGAGAATATTTCTGGAACATGGCCATACAGCCCGGAAAACTCACAGCAACCCAGTTTACTTATTTCCCTAATGGAATAAAAATTCATATGGTACCCTATTTTTTTGCATTTCACTTAATTCAATAAGGCAGAAAATCTGAGTACCAGCTGAAGTTGACACTTTGGTTCTTCAGAAGCTTTGCATGTCCGTGCCTTTAAGAATACATGACAAGTTGAATTTTGCATTGCATTATCAGTGTATACCAGGTATGGGCAAACTTTGGCCCTCCAGGTGTTTTGGACTGCAACTCCCACCATTCCTAACAGCCCCAGGCCCTTTCTTTTCCCCCTCAGCCACTTAAGGTGGGAGTTGCAGTCCAAAACAGCTGGAGGGCCAAGGTTTGCCCACGCCTGGTGTATACCAAGGATGAGCAAAGTGTGTCCTTCCAGATGCTATTGTATTGCAACTTCCATTTATCCTAGTCAGGATAGTCAGTGTTGAGGGATTCTGGAAGTTGCAGTCCAACTGTATCTAGAGGGTTGCGTTTTGCTCATCCCACTATAACCAAATGTTTAAGAGATACAGCCTTGCGAGGTTACTCTCTGTGCACCACTACTCCAACTCTGGCTTTAAAATCTTTCAACTCTGTAAAATATAAATATTGTAGACTGGCTGTCTTACTCTGTTTACTTTTGCAGTCTTGCCAGTTAGATCCTTTTTCACTTGCAAATTGCCAGCATATTGATATAATTTCTTTTGCAAACTATCACAATTTATATTTGCATGTCTCTGCTACATTTTTAACTTCCAATCTGTGGCAACTTAGGGTAGTTTAGTTAAGCATTGTAGATTGTCTAGTGTTGAAAATATGGTCTTTAAGCTCTAGTTTTATAAACGGTTCCATAAAATATACACTACTTCATACTATTTTTAAAATATGTACTTTTTAAAAAAAAAGTGTGGTCACTTCTATCTTTTTCAGGATTATGCTACATTTTCCAGCTTTTTAAAAGTACCTATTCTTTCTACCATGAGGGGAAATGGTTAGAGTAAATGTGTACTAAAATACATTCCTGTACCTTTCATTCTCAGGGCACTTCTGGCGATTCAAGAGATCACAAAGTGGGGCAGAGGAAGGCAAATCTCTCACATGAGGAGCATTCGCGGCTGTTTGTGAAGAAAACTATTGTGGTTGGCAATGTTTCCAAGTCAGTATCTGTTAGTTTAAAATATTTCTATCCCATCCTATATCAGGGGATCTCAGGATAGTATGAATGTTAAAACAGTAAGACTAGTGTATTGTCGAAGGCTTTCACAGCCAAAATCACTGGGATTTTGTGTTGTTTCCGGGCTGTATGGCTATATTCTAGCAGCATTTTCTCCTGATGTTTCTTAAGATGCCAGCCACAGATGCTGGTGAAATCTCAGGAGAAAATGCTGCTAGAACAAGCAAACTTTTGTCCCTCTACTTCTTAACTCCTGTTGGACTAGGGCCACCAAAGGCGGAAGGGTGTCTTTTTGTCTTTTTTACTCCTCCCAGATGTCTTTCATATATAGCTGCCCAGTTTTATTTTGATTTCAGTGACAGAAAATACAAGGATTGTTCTTATTCTTATTTATTTTTAATATCTTGTCCTTTTCCCATTATTGGCTCAGAGGGTGGTTTAAACAAGTTAACACAAATATAATTAAATATAGTTACAAAAATAAAAGCTAAAATATATACAAATTATTATTGAAATACAGTTAAATATTACCTAGAATTAAATCCCTTTAAAACAGATTCATTAAAAACAAACAAATAAATAAATATGCGGGACACATTATAACTAGCACTTTATTAAAATACCGTACAATCAGTGATTAGGAAGACTGTCAGAACAGATAAGTGTTACATGCTATCAAAATGATAACATGATGGGATCTGTCCAAGCTTCCATAGGGAAAAAGTTCCAAAAATTATGTCAGCTCCACTGGCTACCAGTCTGCCACTGAGTACAATTCAAAGGGCTGGCTTTAGCCTGTAAAGCCCTAAACGGTTCCGACCCTGCTTATCTGTCCAAACTTATCTTTCTCTATGAGCCATCTTGGAGGTTAAGATCTTCTGTGAAGGCCCTCCTCTCGGTCCCACCTCTTTCGCAGGTGCAGTTGGTGGGGGACGAGGAACAGGGCCTTCTCAGTGATGGCCCCTTGGCTCCAGCGAAATCAGCTCAGCTCCCTCCCTACTGACTTTCAGAAAGAAATTAAAAACATGGCTGTGGGACCAAGCCTTTGGACAGTAATACCGTTCAATAAATGAAGATGGAATATGTGCAATCACAACTGGAATGGCTCCTTGACTATGATTTTGGATTGTGTATTTTTTAATAATTGGTTTTAATGTTTATATGCTTTTTAATTTTATGTTTTTAATTGTATATGCTTATTTTATTATATGTCTGTTATTTTATTATATGTCTATTACATGGCATCAAATTGTTGCCTATTGTAAGGCTGCTCTGAGTTCCCTTCGGGGTGAGAAGGGCGGGGTATAAATACAGCAAATAAATAAATAAATAAAATTCAAAATGGCCACCTTTTCTGCATTCCCACCATAAAGACCTGAGATGTGGAGGGACTGAGAAAAAGATGTTAAAGTCTAAGCAGTCTCTTATAGCCACCATTTACATAGCTGGCATTATATTTTTTTATTCTTGACAGCAACATATTGGAAAAAATGAAAGGGCTTTCAAACACAGTTATCCAAAGGCTTCTCCAGTATTTCTCCTCTTCAACCTCCATCGCCACCGGAAGAGTAATTGTGGAGGTGGCTTTCTGCCACAACAGCAAGGAAGCTCTGGTGATGGTCCTCTATTTACACTGTCAGAGATGGAAGGCCATCACATCAAGTGGTCCCTTAGCTAATTTCTCCAGAATTTTATCCTTGATTGCCTTTTCAAAGATGGAGCAGAATTAATGTTAGTTGTGTCTCCCTTTCTGCAGATATATTCCTCCTGATAAAAGAGAAGAGAATGATCAGTCCACCCATAAATGGATGGTGTATGTACGAGGGTCCCGGAGAGAGCCCAGTATCGATCATTTTGTTAAGAAAGTCTGGTTCTTCCTTCACCCCAGCTACAAACCCAACGACCTTGTCGAAGTCAGGTAATGCAGCTCTTATTGAGACTTCTAGGTTGTGCTCCTTATCACTTGTTAAGTGATGCGTTTTCAAAATGTCAGGGACTGTTCTGTGATTCCATTCTAATCTCTTGTATCTATGTCATTTTTCATGTGCTGGCTTCCATGTCAAGAGGGACAATGACTACTTTAATTTTTTCATTCAGATTTTAGAATAGCTATTAAAGGTACAGTAATTAATCCTGCCCCAAAAAATATATTCAGCAATTTCAATAACCAATACCCGAAAGAGATTTGCTTCCACACTGATAAACTACAAACTACTTGTCGAAACCCAGATGCCTTAAAGAGCCAGCCACAGGAGTATGTCCAAAACAATAGTTTATTAAAGCAAAGTAAACAGGACTCAGAGACACTTGCTTCAGTGCTTCTGGTCAAAACTCAAAGATTGTAGAAATTTCTAGCTTGTAAAACAAACTCAGTCAATAATTCGGATTAAACTGGCAAAAAACCCGGATTAAATAAGAGTTCTTCCAAACCACACCAAAATCACACAGTTCAATGAAAACAAACAAACAAACAAAGAGCCGTGAAGAGAAGCCATCGTCCAATTGCAGCCCAAAGTCTAAGAAATCCCAATTGAAAGTTCCAAAGTCCACAAGGCAGCGTCGTCGTGAAAAGCAGTCCGAAGTCAAGGAGAGGGGAAATCCGCACTTACGAGAATCCAAGCTGGTCAGTACACGAAGCAAAACAGCAACCTGCAGATCCAGGACCCAAGCCCAACAGGAAAGCGGCAGCAAGAAGACCCAAGGCACGAAACCAACACTTTGCCTACTGCAAAGTTCTATCATTCCAGTGCCTACATTTATTTTACAGCTCATCATCCGATGATGAGCTTCCCTCCACCCCATCCTCATCACTATCAGCTGGCTTAGCTTCCACAGCTGAATGCCAACGCCCATCCCTCCAACTCTTCCACCTCTTGTCAAGACTTCGGTCTCCCCATGATTCCACAGTATCACCTGATTGCCAATCCCCGCCACCAGAAAACCCCGCAAAAGTGTCACTAGACGTTGGTTGAGTACACACATTCTGAACCTCCTGTACCTTGGTCCAATCGAGTGGCTCCTCATCCCCATCACTCCCAGACCCATAATTCCCAGAAAACCCCATGAAATCCACTTCCTTCGTGGGAGCAGTAAGTATGTCCCGGATCTTCTTTCTCTGATGCTCCTCATCTGATTCCTGCTCTTGAGTAATCCTCTTAGTCCCTCTATTCCCATCTGTATCTCCTTCCTCCTCACTCATTTCACTCTCGGAGAAACCCTCAAAGGACTCTTCATCAGTGGGTGACATAAGTATCTCCCAGATCCTCTTCCTTTGCTGTTCCTTGTCTAACACCTGGGCGCCTCTTTTCCCTCCTCTACCACTCCTACTACTAGTTGCAGCATTGCCAACAGACTCTACTACAACACTACTACTGTTTTTTTTTCTCCTCAGATTTATAGAATAGCTGTCTATTGTTACATATTTATTCTGTACTAGCCATCTCCTGCCACGCGTTGCTGTGGCCCAGTTTGTGTATATGTGTTTTGTGTGTTTATATAAGTGTATGTATATATTTGTGTATATGTGTATATATGTGGTTATGCACATGCATTGCAATGTATTTTCTATTTTTTTTGGCTTTTTAAGTCACTTCTATTGTGTTTTCCAGTGTTTTTATGAATGATGGTCACTTGTTGGCCTGATAGGTGTCTTGTGTCCAAATTTGGTGTCAATCTATCCAGTGGCTTTTGAGTTATGTTAATCCCACAAACAAATATTACATTTTTATTTATATAGATGATGCATGCCTCTCCATTATGTCCAGTGGCTTCCACATTGTCTTGATAATATTCAAAAGGCATATCATGTTGCATCAGGCAGCTGACTCCTGGCATTTGGCCATGGGGGAAAAATCCTTTTGATCTGACATGAAAGATTTCTTCCTTTCCATTTGCTCAAATTGTTTTCTTCCAGCTGCATAGTTAGGACATCTGGAGATCCTATTCCATGTGCATTAAGCAGAAATTCTATGCTTAATAAATAAATAGCACAACTCCCACATCATTGGATGCAGATTCCAATTCCTGATGTACTGTTTTGTATGTTACAGCAGACCTTCAAGGCACCAGGTGGAAAATGCCTGTTGAGCCAGATAGCTTTCTTGTCACAGTCCTTGCTGCAGTCGTGGCCAGAGAGAATATGATTAAAGCATTTAAATTCAGTTTAGGAATGTGTATCAAAGGAGAGGATGAATAGAGATAGCTGAAATTCAATCATCCGTTATCCAATGTGTAGATATTTTTTCAAGTCAATCTACCCAACCCTATTATTGAAGGATGCCAGAAAGCCATGCATTTCCTCTTCAGAATCTAAGCACATCTGGAACTGCCGAGGCTGGAGGAAAGAGGGATTAGGGATATCCAACTAAACTGTCTGGAAATGGTCTGCATTCCTGAAAAATGTCTTCTTAAATCCCCATACTTTTTAAAGTGGGTTCCATTTCCTTCTGATCCATTCCTTGTGTCATCCAGAAGATAAACCCAGGAGAGGCTGCAAGGCCTTGTTCTTTACAAGTTGTTTTTTCCAGTCAAAATCATATCACCCCAACCTTCAGATGTGAATGTTCACCAAGCAGGACAAAAAGCACTAGGTGGAATGAATGGATAGGGCGACGATTTTTTATGTGTAGTGCTTGAATAGGGTCCCTTGGTGGCGCAGTGGGTTAAACCACTGAGCTGCTGAATTTGCTGACCGAAAAGTTGGCAGTTCAAATCTGGGGAGCAGGGTGAGCTCACACTTTTAGCCCCAGCTTCTGCCAGCCTTGCAGTTCAAAAACATGCAAATGTGAGTAGATCAATAGGTACCCCTTCTACGGGAAGGTAGCAGCGCTCCATGCAGTCATGTTGGCCACATGACCTTAGAGGTGTCTATGGTCAATGGCAGCTCTTTGGCTTAGAAATTGAGATTTATTTATCGTGTCATCAGCAACCATTGTATTACAATTCTAACAGAGCAAAACAAACACAGAGATTAAAAAAAGAAAAAGAAAAAAAAGAAAGAAAAAAACCCACACAGATTTTGCAAATTTGGTATTTGGTTAAATGTCCTTTGACCAGTATCTGGCCACTTGGAGTGCCTCTGGGGTTGCCGCAAGAAGGTCCTCCATCGTGCATGTGGCAGGGCTCAGGGTGCATTGCAGCAGGTGGTCAGTGGTTTGTTCTTCTCCGCACTCGCATGCTGAGGATTCCACCCTGTAGCCCCATTTCTTAAGATTGGCTCTGCATCTCGTGGTGCCATGAGAGAAGCCTCCTCGCAGGATTGCAAGACATCCGGGCGTCCCCTGGGCAACGTCTTCGTAGACGGCAGATTCTCTCGCCACAGAAGCGACCAGCAGGCAAGCAGGCAAGCAAAACAACCAACGGTCCTTTTCAGGACCAACCATGACAATAATCTCAATCAATATCGAAATGGAGATGAGCACCACTCGCCAGAGTCAGACACGACTAGACTTAATGTCAAGGGAAACCTTTCCCTTTTAGTGCTTGAAACTACCCTATTCTAAAAACCTTTAAAAAGAACCTTAAAACCTGGCTCTTCCGCTGCGCCTTTGGTGAGTAGGTATGCAATCTCACACTATTGCTTAGCCTCAACGTTCTGTCATTGGAGTATACATCCCCCGTCTCCCCCCCCCCATGGGAAAGCTTGATTCCCGCTATAATGAGCCCTCCTCTGCAAATAACCTGCTTCTCTTTTATCTCGCCCAGGTTTTTAATTAGTTTTTAATTAGTATTCTTTTAATCATTACATGTAGCCCGCCCATTGTCATTGTGATTGTGCTTATTGTAATTTTATATTGTTACATATTCACATGTTTTATGTAATTATGATGTTGTTGTTTATTCGTGTTTTCGATTTGTGTTTTCGGTTTTACTCTGTTATAATTTGTTGTCATGTAAGCCGCTCCGAATCCCCATCGGGGAGATGGTGGCGGGGTATAAATAAAGATGATGATGATGATTATTATTATTGAATATTTGTTTGGCTATAGACTTCAGGAAATTGGGGATGCCCAGTACCAAGAACATATGATAATGTGTTTACTAAATCTTTCTGTAGTCAAGTAATACAGAAAAGACAAAGGGGGTTGTTATATTTGGGTATTATGTTTAATATATTAGAGGGTCCTTCAGATTCTCTAGCAAATTCACATTCTTTGCGAATACTTCAAAACTTTGTGAACGCTGTGTGAATTGCCAAAGTGACTCTTCACTGTCCCCCTACCTGACAAAGGTTTTGCTGCTTTTTCTTCACCTTTACCTCCAATCTCTAAAGGGATTCAGCATAATTGTGAAAAGACATGATCCTTTCACATTTATATTCTCTGAGGATGAGGATTTGTTTCAAAAAGTATTTGGCTTCTGCAGATTTGTTTCTCAAGTAACAAAATTTTCTGCCATGTCCCCATTTCTAGGGAGCCTCCTTTCCACTTGACCAGGCGGGGCTGGGGAGAGTTTCCTGTGCGGGTTCAGATTCACTTCAAGGATAGCCGGAACAAAAGGATCGACATCATACATCATCTGAAGGTAGTTTTGTTTCAGTCATAATGCTTCCAGGGCTGAGGCTGATTTTGTAGGAGTGTGTTGGTGCACATGTACTGTCATAAAAATTAAAGTGGTAATCTTTGTTCAGAGAACTTATGTAGTCTGTAATGTCAAATGCACAGACACAGGTAGTGTGTAGTATATGAGAACACCAGGAATTTAGCATTTTTTAAAACAAAAGGGATTTTAAAGAACAGAAACGAATAGTTTTTTTAAAAGAAGGGAAAAGGTGAAGGATAAATGCTTATAATATGAACACGAGAGAGGTATATACATTGATTTAAACTAGTGGTTCTCAACCACTTGACCAGGGATCACTTGGAGCAGCGAGCATTCTCCAACATTAGTACCAAAAGTGTTATGAATCAGTTTTTGGTCAACTTTAGATTTGGTTTGTTTTTTTGGTGGTGCCAATTCAGAAAATTTGCATAGGATAGACCACATCAGCTCTAGTTTCTGATACAGCACATATGCCATCCAGTAGTTGCCATCTGCTTACCCACAGAAAACAATATTTAATCAACCTCAGCAGAATAAGAGGGTTTTGCGAGACCAGTTGCTCTTGTTGCAATGGTGTAATAACAGTGGGGCTGCGGACCATATTTTAGTTCTTGCAGACCACTGGTGGTCCATGGACCTCAGGTTGGGAACCACTGATTTAAACTGACCATATAACCCAAAATTGTATTTTCAATAAGTTGCTAGCTAAAAATAGACACTCACAAGAAGCTAAATAGCAAGATTGTCTGAGCATTGAACAATAGATGGTGAAATGTTTATCTTTCCAACCTTTTGCAACAATGAAAGTATCCACAGGTCCAATAACATTGACCCTCAATTAAATTCTTTGTTTCAGAAATCACAAAATTAACACATTATAATGCATGTAAACAAAAAAAATGTAATCTTTTAATGTATCCACATCATATGCCTCAAGGAAGCATGATCAGTGTTGCATTACCAACCCCTCTACGTTCCACCTCGTAATTTAAGATCTATTGAGGAGGCCCTGCTCTCGGTCCCACCGGCTTCGCAAATGTGTCTGGTGGGGACGAGGGACAGGGCCTTCTCAGTGGTGGCTTCCCGCTTGTGGAATTCGCTCTTCAGCGAGATAAGATCGGCGTCCTCCCTCCTTTCTTTTAGAAAAAAACCCCCTAAAATCGTGGTTGTGGAGGCAGGCCTTTGGCTAGTGGGCACAGCAGCACTTTAGACACTGAACCTGGACTACAGGACTGTTACGACAATTGGAAACGGCTGACTATGTGATTATATGGCTATGTGATTATGTGATTATAATTAGTGTTACTGTTTTTTATTTGCTATAATGATTTTACATTGTGTTGCTGATATTGTGGCATCGAATTGCTGCCTGTGTTAGCTGCTCTGAGCCCCCCCCTCCGGGGGGGTGAGAAGAGTGGGGTAGAAATGGTGTAAATAAATAAATAAACAAATAAATTTAGTTGAAGTAAAAAGTTTCTTCCTAAAAAGTTGTGATGGTATTCATCACAAATGTAAAATCGAATTTGGGTGAAGCAAACATGGTTTTTGGACTGTGGATATTTTAGATCTTGAAGCTAAACCAGCTTGCACAGTGCACTCTGATGTTTTTTGCTGTCCAAAGAGAGCAAAAGAAAGCCAGCATTCTTTTTTAGCTCCAGGACATTTCTCCTCTTGAAAATTCCATCATTGATTTATCTTGATGAGATTTTCCTTGAAAGAACCCTGCCTTCCCTTTTCTTTCTCTAGAGTTCTCTCTTGTGGCTGGACTCCACCAAACTTTTTGCTGAATGTTAGTTTTTGCAGCCAAGTCCATGGGGTCACTAGAAGTTGACTAACAACTTAAAGATTTGTCTCTGAACATACACACAGCTTCAAATTATTATGAAGATCATTTTGTATTTTTTATCCTGCTTTCCAAAAGTACTTAGCCTGTGTGGTAGAGTAGTTTGAGTTCTGAAACCGAAAGCCAGGGCTCGCATTGCTGCTCAGGCATGGCAACCTACTGGGTGAGTTTGAGCAAGTCACTTTCTCAGCCTAAGGGAAAGGTAATGGCAAACGCCCTCAGAATCAGCAATAGCTTAATTCTTCATGTGATCTTATCAGGAAATGGAGCCCTCAGTAGCACAGTGGGTTAAACCCTTGTGCCGGCAGAACTGAAGACCGACAGTTCGCAGGTTCGAATCGAGGAGAGTGCGGATGAGCTCTCTCTGTCAGCTCCAGCTCCCTGTGCAGGAATATGAGAAGCCTCCCATAAGGATGATAAAACATCAAAAACATCCGGGTGTCCCCACATCAATGTCTTTACAGATGGCCAATTCTCTCACACCAGAAGCAACTTGTAGTTTCTCAAGTCGCTCCTGACACACACACACACACAATCAGGAAATGCAAAGTAGATAATATGATAATATGAGGAAGGATCATTTCAGTTTTGGATTGCTTGTGCGTGCTTATCTCTTGAACATGCTACATCACAGGTTTGCAGAAAAATAGAACCAAATATGCGGGAGGGAAAGTTTCAGTTCCGTGTTTCTGTGAAATCATCTGTCTATATTTGCTACTTTTTGCATTCAAAACAGTCATATTTTGCTTTGCCTGGTTGTTTTCACACAGTTGGATAGAACATACACCGGTCTACAAACACTTGGAGCTGAAACGGTATGATTTTTTAAAAAGTTCTTAGACTTTGCTTGTAAAGTTATGGAACTTTCTGTGCAAAGAAGGAAAAAGTAAAAAGTGAAGAAATGTGAGTGGTTAATGACACTCAACTAGTTCACATGTTGAAAAGCAATATGATTGTATATTGTCATTTACTGGAAAGTAATTGAATTGGCCCCCAATCAGTGTGACTAGTCCCAACATTGATATACTTGCATTCATCCCTGTTGGCTGAAGACATTTTTTTCATTGAGCTAAAGCATAGTTAGGGAATGTATGAATCTCTAGATCAGTGTTTCTCAAACTGTGCTTCTTCAGATATTTTGGACTTCAACTCCTTCAATTCCTATCAACTGGTAAGATGGCTGGGATTTCTGGAGGCTGAAGTCCAAAACACCTGGAGGAGCACAGTTTGAGAAACACTGCTCTAGACTGTGGTTCTTATCATGTTTCTCGATTGACTGTGCTGGCTAATACTGGTGAAAGTTGCCAGTTGATTTCAGTAGGCATACTCTATGTAGGATACAAGGTAAAGGTTTCCCCTTGACATTAAGTCCAGCCATGTCCAACTCTGGGGGGTGGTGCCCATCTCTATTTCTAAGCTGAAGAGCCAGCGTTGTCTGTAGACATTTCCAAGGTCATGTGGCCGGCATGACTGCATGGAGTGCCGTACTTTCCCGCCGAAGCAGTACCTATTGATTTACTCGCATTTGCATGTTTTCGAACTGCTAGGTTGGGAGAAGCTGGGCCTAACAGCGGGAGCACACTCCGCTCCCCAGATTTGAACCACTGACCTTTCAGTCAGCAAGTTCAGCAGCTCGGCTAGGTAGGATAGTATTCGGTTTATCCCATTATGAGTAGAGAGCATGTGCATTCCCATCTTATTATTTATTTGTGTTCGAATAATTCTGACAACATCATTCCCAGATGGTCAGACTCAATAGACTAAAATTAGATCAGAAGAGAAAAAAGACGATATTAGATATTATTAGACCAATGATGCCCAATATTGTTTTTCCAGATGTTTGAATTTCCATTCCAAGAAATGCTGGTCATTGGTTATGATCCCTACTACACTGCCACATAATCCAGATTAACAGATCAGATAATCCACATTATCTGCTTTGAACTGGATTATATGAGTCTACACTGCTATATAATCCAGTTCAAACAGATTATCTGGATTTTATATGGCAGTGTAGGCGGGGCCTATGTTGGTGGAAGATTCCGGGAATTGAAATCCAAAGAAGCGCTTCTGTGGCTTGATGCAGGGGGCACCATAGTATGTTTCAAAGTCCCTCTCCACACATATTTTTTAGAAATGTGCATAGTTGCCTTATATTGCTTTTCCTTTTGCTCTTCAAAGGTTGTGGATGTTGAGTTACATCGTCATTCCCTGAGAGAGGAATACCTCTTCTCCCACTCATCAGATTCAGATCTTTCCGATGCTTCCAACTCACTACATTTGCCTTTAAACATGCCAGCTCCTGTGAAGTCATCTTCGCCAATAAAACAAATGCATGAATCTATTGCAGATGTTTCTGCTGAAAAAGGTGGGTGAAAGAGAGAGCATGGGAGAGAAAGCATGAGAGATGTAGGAATTTTCATGCATTTTAACACATTGTTTTTTTATAACAGATTACAGATTATTATCATTATAAGATTACTATACAGCAAACCTAATAACTAAACTGGCTTTTGTATTTGATCACACATTGGACACCTCCCAAGTGTCTAGGACTGTGTGATTTATCGGTGAATAATGGGTACAGATCCAAGTAGGGTGGCCTTTAGCAGCTGACAGATGGTAATTTTGTCGGTGCCAATTGTTTTTAAGTTCAGGCCAAGGTCTTTCGGCACTGAACCCAGTGTGCCGATCACCACTGGGACCATTATTATTATTATTATTATTATTGACACAAAAGTACAGTAGGTCATAGCAAATGAGGTCTATATGCTGGATTTTGTATCACAAAATCACAAGTCAAACACTTCCCAAGTGTCTAGGACTGTGTGATGTATTTTCGAATGATGCGCGCAGATCCAAGTAAGGTGGCCTTTTGCAGTTGACAGATCATGATTTTGTCAATGTTATTGTATTGTCGAATGCTTTCATGGCCGGAATCACTGGGTTGTTGTAGGTTTTTTCGGGCTATATGGCCATGTTCTAGAGGCATTTTCTCCTGATGTTTTGCCTGCATCTATGGCAAGCATCCTCACCTCACTACCTCTGAGGATGCTTGCCATAGATGCAGGCAAAACGTCAGGAGAAAATGCCTCTAGAACATGGCCATATAGCCCGGAAAAACCTACAACAACTCAATTATTTGTTTCCATTTGTTTCCAAATGCTGGCTGAGATCTTTTGGCACGGCACTCAGTGTGCCAAAATAATAATAATAATAATAATTATTATTATTATTATTACTATTATTATTATTATGTTTGTTTATACCTCACTTTTTCTCTCCACAAAGGAGAATCAAAGTGGCTCTCATTTTGTAGTTTATAGAAACATTGAGTAGAAGACCTCAAGAGTCATCTAATCTAACTTCCTGCAATGCAAGAGTACACAACTAAACCACTCCTGAGAGATGGGCATCCGACTCTATTTAAAAACCTCCAAGGAAGGCCAGTCGATCTTATTCTGAGTGGGGTACATAATCCTAGATATTTTATGTTGGCAGCTATTCAAGGAGAGAGGCATTTTGAGACATAATATTCATCCTTCCAATCTGAATAGGGAAGCGCCTGCTGTTTTGGAGTGGGTGGCCTACTGAATAATCAGAATGGTTTCCGAAACAGAAGGAATAAGAAAGGGAGGAGGGTGTGATTTGTAGCATCTCTGTTTGATCTTTTGAATTTTCTACTTAAAGACATTTTCCACCACTTTCCCTCTTCTGTATTTATCCATCAGGTTTTAATACTGAGGCTGAAAGGCGTACAGCTTTTTATTCCCTGACATCATCTTTAGAACGGACTCCCACTAAGCTCACAGCTCAGAAAGTTACTTTTGGCTCTCATGGCAACTCAGCTTTTCAGCCCATTGCAGCTAGTTGCAAAATCATACCTCAAGGCCGAATACCAAGCCCTGCTGAATCTCCAGGCAAGTCTTTCCAGCCCATCACCATGAGCTGCAAGATTGTATCAGGTATGGCATAATTTGCATATCTAATTATGTTGTGTACCAAGACAAGAATGCAATATGTTATTTTCTTCCTATTGTGTTTACTGCTGGCAAAACTTAGTATAGATCAGTGGTTCCCAACCTTTTTTTGACCAGGGACCACTCTCCAACATTAGTACTGAATCAGTTTTTTGTCAACTTTAGATTCGGTTTGGTTATTTGGGGTGCTGATTCAGAAAATTGCATTGGAAGGACCACATCATCTCTAGTTTCTGATACAAAACATATGCCATCTGGTAGTCAGCATCTGCTCGCCCACAGAAAACCGTATTTAATAATCTAGAGCTGATGTGGTAGTAGTAATCTTTTGTGGGTAGTCAGCCTCTTCCCTCCTGACATCCCCGATTCACAAGACCAGTCACTCTAGTTGCTGTGTAGCTTCAAAGCAATGGTGAGGTCACAGACCATGTTTCGTTCTTGGGGACCACTGGTGGTCCACAGACCACAGATTAGGAACCATTGATATAGATGGTGGCCTCAATTTTGACTAATCAGGTGGTGAACACACTTGTAGCCTGAAAGGATTAAAGTTTTAAAAAAATCTTTCAAAGAGACAGTGAAATAACTGTATTGTGTGGTCTTTTGTAGGACTTGATGATGCCAAATACTAAATCTTTGTTTATCTTCTTTTTTTTCGACTACAACAATAGTTCCCAACCTTTTATTGACCAGGGACCACTTGACCAGGGAGCACTCCCCAACATTAGTACCAGAAGGGTTACAAATCAGTTTTTGGGCAACTTGAGATTCAGTTTGGTTATTTGGGGTACTGATCCAGAAAATTGCTTTGGAGGGACCACATCAACTCTCATTTCTGATACAAAACATATGCCATCCAGTTGTCACCATCTGCTTACCCACAGAAAACCATAGTTAATAAGCCTCGGCACTATAAGAGGGTTTTTGCAAGACTAGTCGCTCTCGTTGCAGCAGTGAGTAACAGTGAGGTTGCAGACCATATTTTAGTTCTTGTTGACCACTGGTGGTCCACGGACCACAGGTTGGGAGCCACTACTACAAGAACATAAGTCAAAATTGTAGCTGTTTGGTTTTCATGAAACTATTTCTTTGCAATAGAGTTGATACAATTTTGTCTCTTAAAGAAATGCTGTTCTGCAAATTGCTATTTTTGTTGCTTACCATTCTTTTGGGAATCTTCCTGCCATCATTGAGATCTTCTCTATGTTCCTTTAGGTTCTCCAATATCAACCCCAAGTCCGTCTCCACTCCCTCGGACCCCAACCTCCACTCCAGTGCATATGAAGCAAGGGACTACCACCCCAGTGGTCAATAACCCTTATGTTATTGTGGACAAACCTACCCAGGCAGTTGGAGTAGTGGCCACAAGCACTGGTGTGTATTATACAAGGAACAGTGTCCCTTGCTTTTCTAAGAGGCATAACGTTGTTATTATTGCTGTTGTTATTGTACCTTAAAGTCATTTCCAATATAAGACTGAGAGCATAACTTTCCCAAAGTCACCCAGTAGATTTCATGGCCAACCCGGATTTGAGTTTTATTTCACTGTTTTCTCCCAAGTTTAACAACAGAGATTCACTCTTGTCTTAACACTTATTGTTGAAAGCCTAAACGACTTCACTTTTTAAACAGAAATAGCTTTTCTAAGACCTCTTCACCAGACAAGAAACATGAGAGATAGATATGCTAAACAAGAGTGATTGATGAATCTTGACTTCTCAAGTGCTCATCCAGCACTACTCCCTATGTCAGCACTGGACTCAAAATCGCATCTGCACTAGACATCATGGCCAGTGATCAGTAATGATGACATAAGCTACTGTGTGTGAATAACTACAGATAGCACTTTTCTGTCAGCTGAAGTATAATTGAAGGCTAAATATTGGCAATTCTGTTAACTTGTGAACATGTTCCTTCCCTACTGTCTCCCACTTAATAGCATAGCATGTGCAGCAGGTGTGAGGAAAGCATGGCCCATGGGCCACATCTGACTTTTGAAGCCTTCCATTTTTAAAACAAATCATGTGATTTTGGGTCTGATTTTTCCCCAGCCTCAGAAGCTCCCCATATTTGTGTAAGCATGCAAAAGGCCCTTCCTAGAACCTCAGCCCTTCGATTTTTTTCATCCCACCCTCTATTGTGACTCCAAAATAACAAAAGAAGGTGAAATTAATTCACTTCTAGTAATCATTTTGGAGGAAAACCTAAGATATTTTGGTACAAGGGGTAGGAGTGCCACACAGGAAGGAGCAGTGAGTTGCAAAAGTCCACATATCCTTACCTACTTACGACAGAAAGGAGCCCAAGAGAGAAACCTTGCTGTTTGTTTGTTTGTTTAGACCTTGATTAGAACTTTTGCTAAAATGTGTAAGGAACAGTAGCCCTTTTCTCACCATATGTGTTTATGGTCCTGGTAGAGTCAGTATAGAAGATATATCAAGGCCCCTTCCACACAGCTGAATAAAATCCCACATTATCTGCTTTGAACTGGAATATTTGGCAGTGTGGACTCAGATAACCCAGTTCAAAGCAGATATTGTGGGATTTTATTCAGCTGTGTGGAAGGGGGCTTGATATATCTTCCTTGATATTCTGTGTTATATGGCTGTGTTGAAGGGCCCCTACTCTCTCAAATTTGTCAGTGCATGTTAATACGCGTTCACCTCTGCTTTCCCAGTAGCGAAGCTGATTGTTGAATAAGTACTTTTGCATGAGTTGGAAGTAAGTGTCCTACAATCTCTGAGCTCCCACAGTTTTACCATTACTGTGGTCAGACAGATGTTGTCTTGTTAACACCGGATGTCTGGCAAAAAAATATATATATAATGCATTATGCTGATTTGTTCACTATCTTTCCCAATATATAGGAAATTCTGCAAGTAAAGTTACAAATGTTTCCCAGGCTTCTCATGGGACGGGGTCTCCAGTCTCAAAGATCCATGGAAGCAGTTTTGTAGCCTCCACTGTCAAGGTAACATGCGTTTGACTGATTTCTCTTTCCTCTTTTCAAAATTTGCTATAAAACGATGTGCAATGTATTCTGTCCATTATTCTTAGGTCCAGCATTTCAGGGCTTGCATTTCTGCAACTATGTTGGCGCAGTATTTATTTTTAATGTCCATTAGTAGAGTTCTGGGTCCTTATTCATACTATACAAGTATTGGGCTATTATCCCACTTTAACTGTTATGGTACTTTCCTTTGGCATCCTGGCATTGCTAGTTTAGAGATAATAGTAGTAGTAGTAGTAGTAGTAGTAGTAGTAGTAGTAATCATGTATTTCTAGACTCTCAGGCGGATAACATGTAAAAAGGCAAATATTCAATTCCTCAAAATAGGTGGAAATATATCAAATAATACAAAATAATAAAGAGTAACAACAGAAAATTTACAACAAGGAATTAAATATCAAAATAAAATAAAAACAATCCATTAATCCAGGGTCCTCAAACCACACTTTCCATTGAAATAGTAATAAGTTTATATTTGTTAAAATTGTTCTTCATTTTAATTATTCTATTGTTTTAAGCGTTTTTTGCACTACAAATAAGATATGTGGAGTGTGCAGAGGAATTCACTCATGTTTTTTTTCAAATTATAATCTGGCCCTCCAACAGTTTGAGGGACTGTGACCTGGCTCTCTGTTTAAAAAGTTTGAGGACCCCTGCGTTATTCCATAAAAACTAAAACCCACTTATCACGGTGTTACATTCCAGGACCACCATCATATCATATAACTTAAAACTTTAAAAGAAGCTATATTTCTTTTCTTGGATATTTTTGTTTCTTGTAACTAGATTGTAACCTTTAAATAAAAAATGCTTTGCTAACTTAACTGCATGTTTTTGTCTGTTTATTTCAGCAGGAGGACTCGCTCTTTGCAACCATGCCCCCTCTTTGTCCAATTGGGAGTCACTCCAAGGTACAAAACCCTAAATCAGTGACAGGAGGACCTGGGACATTCACAAAGGTACTGGGAGTCTATTGTTCTCTTTTAAGTGCATAGCAACTGCAGCTGCCCCAGTTCACAGTGAGACATGCAATAAAACATCCCAAATGTGTTCTTTGAACTTTGTGGGCTTTGTTGCTTGCTCCTTGAGGTTCTGGACATGTGTGAAAAAGGTTATAATGTGCCAGTTCAGTACCTTTTCAGTCCTGTCCTTTTTCTACAAAGGTAGTGCATGTACCAGTTAGTACCTTTTCTTTCAAAAGGGGAATTCGAGCATCTCCTCTATCATGTTCTTCCTTTTTTCAGTTACTCTCAGAAGTGGTTCAGCATTCCTTGTTGTGCTTAGTTATATGGCCTCTGTTTCTTGGGGTTTTACTTAAGTATTTCTTTTTTTAAGCTTATCTGCACAGTTCTAAGAGAGATGGAGAATCAAGTTCACCTTTTCCTTGTTTTGTGTGCCCTCCACCCCAAGTTCTCAATGAATCACTTCGTTTATATCCCACCTTACCTCCAAAAGTGCAGATCTCCTCCTTGCTTGGCTCTGAGGGTGGTCAAAATTAGTTATGCCAACTCTGTGCTGACATTGAGGGATACTCAAAAAAGGAGTCTTCCCCACTGAAAACCAAGTTCTCTGGTCCACTGGTTCCAAGGCCATTTTTGTTCTTTGTGTCTCCACGATGACGATGCCACATTTCAGAGCCTTCTGCTGTGTGCTGCTGGGAATAGATTGATGCCAATACAGCTTTCTGTAGGCTTAATTTACGACGCCATAAAATCTCCAGCAAGCAAGCAAAAGTACTCCATCAGTGTCACAAATGAACGGTGAAACGGCAACTCCCCTGGTGGCCAGAATACCCTCATGAAGCTGAAATGTTAAATAGCCTCTGTGTGTCTGTCTATATATGTTGTTTTTCTATGGCATTGAATGTTTGCTATGTATATGTGCATTGTAATCCGCCCTGAGTCCTGCGGGGAGAGAAGGACGGAATATAAATACTGTAAATAAATAAAATAAATAAATAAAGTGGCAACTTTGGGGTAAATCCTGCACTCTCTCCAGTTCGATCTCCAGTGCATCCTGATCCCTCTCAAGTGGGCACCTAAGAAGTATGGGATAGATATGTAAATACTTTTGCCTGATTTTTTGAAGGTCATCATCAAACAAGAGCCTGGAGAATTTCCCCAGCAGTCTCCAGTGCCAGCGACCGGGACAGCCTCTCAGGCTCCAGTGCAGCAATATGTCACCGTGAAAGGGGGTCATATGATAGCTCTGTCACCCCAGAAGCAGATTGTGAGCACAGGAGAGGGGTCAGCATCATCTAAGGTACATCATTTTAAATTCCATTCTGCTGGATCTGCTTTATACTATTGGCAGTGGCCACTAGAGTTGCTCCCTGATATTTATATGCTGATGAAGATTAAACATAAGCAAAAAAATGCCTCAAATGTACATTAGCAGAGCTTTAAAAAATTACTTAGCATTCATACACACATAAACTTTGTCCTTGGTATCTACTGGGGTTTAGTTCCAGAATCCCCTCCCCCTTCCCCCAAAGATAAAAATACCATGGGCACTCAATTATAAAATGGCAAAACACCAAGGTTTGCTTTCTGAAATTAAAAAAATATTTTCAAACCATTGTGAAATTGTGAAAGTAGAATCTTTGGATACAGAGGGCCTTCTATAGCAAAGTATGTAAAGTAACTACATTTACAAAGTAAATACAGGAGTATTATGAGATATATCTAGACAGTACATTACCTTCAATGGTAACATCTTTGGGTGCCTACTGATAGTGGTATTATTTCTTAGAAGCTGTAACCATCTAATTTTAACTTTGAAATGATGCATTTTTCAGACAACATGCCAGGAGTTGTAGTACCCAAAGTAAATTTTCCATGTTGGAGATAGCAACCTTCTCAAACCTCTTCTATTTAATGTTTTGTCACTTTATAATGTGTTGTTTATTTCCTGAAGTGTATGTCTTCTTTGGTTAGCTGTTTTCTTAGATTTATGCACTTGAGGCAGTGGGAGGGGCTGCAAACCATGTGACCGGTGCAGTGGCTGTTTAGGATGCAGTTTAAAAGGATAACAGTTGAGGCTTGAGTCAGTTTTGAGTACAGAAGCCAGTGTAGGAAATTAGAAAACAGTAGAGGATTGATTCCCTTGGAAGTAGACTGCTATGAAAGAGAGCTGTACAGAGCAATATAGTTTTGAAGAGACTGATAAAGACTATTAAGTTAAAGATACAAACTGAAAGTTTTTAAAGTTTAACCTGACAAAAAATGTGCCCGTATATTTAAATACATTAAGTTGTGAGTAAAACAAACATGTTATTTTAAAGAAGTATACTTGAATCTTTGTCTGCTGAGAGCATCGAGTAGAACAAGATATTTACGTGCCCAGTGATCAACCATTATCCAGTAAACTAAAGGAACACTTCCGAAACTCTGCTACCCAATAGGTTATGATCCTAACAGGTTATAATCCCCAATAGGTTATGATCCAAATATTCCAAGCTCTAGCTCAGACTCAGGTAAACTTGGGCCCTCCAGGTGTTTTGGACTTCAACTCCCACAATTCCTAACAGCCTATCGGACCACCTGGAGGGTCCAAGTTTGCTCATGCCTGCTCTAACTCCTCTTTAAGCAGTTTTCATGTGCCAGGAGAACTTGTCCGATAGCTACTAGAGCAGACCCAATTTTGGTAGCTAAGAAAGATGTTTCTGTCCACTTGTGACTGTGTCATGTAAGCAGCATGTTTTATTTTGCTGTAGATGGTTAGCGTTCCAGTCGGCTCAGCTTTACCAGCAACAGTCAAGCAAGCTGTGGCCATTGGTGGCGGGCAGATATTAGTGGCAAAATCCAACCCTTCAGCAGTAAAGACGGTTGGAGGAAAACAGGTTGTAACTCAAGGAGTGGCAAAAGCTATTGTGAGTAGCGGTGGAGGGACCATCGTTGCTCAACCAGTACAGACTTTAACAAAGGCTCAGGTTCCAGCAACAGGAGTTCCAAAGAGTGGACCCCAAGGTTCAGGTAAAGTGATTTCTATTTTCAGGATTAGATATGTTACTCATATTAATAGTACTCTGAACCCAGCTGATTTCAGAAGCTAAGCTAGGTACTTGATTCATACTTGGATGAGAAATCACTAGAAAATATCACGATCCTCAAATAAGGCTGGATAGTGTTCTGCCTGAAACTTTGGAGACAGATTGATATTGGCTGGATGGAACAATACTTTGACTCAACAGTAGGCAGCCATATTTCTAACTGTTTGGTAAGGGTTAGTTTAGTTTAGGGATATTACAGTGATCTTTTAAGTCCAGTTGTGTTTGCTGTAGTTTGGAGGCTGGGAACTGTGGCTCCACAGATGTTGGACTCCAGCTTCCAGCATTCCTTTCCATTGACTGGGCTGATGAGGGCTGATGATAGTTGGTGTGAAAATATTTTTATCCTTGAGGTAGTACCCGCATAGTTTATTAAGTATGACTGGGTGAAAAGCCTACTACAAGTTGTGCTTATCTGGAATTCCGAAATCCAAACTTGGTTTCATGTCCATAACACCATGTAACATGATTTTTGTTCCTGAGTTATAGATGTCATTTCCTAATTGGTTCTATTATAAAAACATGGGAAAAGTTTATTAAACTGCAAAAACTGTGTATTTACGGGACATCCTGCAGCACATTTTGCTATAGGTTTTCAATAAATTTCTCATAGAGTCTCAACCAACTTAACATAATTCGTGGCAGCCACAAAAACGAAGTTTCTGAAGTGTAACAACTACTTTCAAAGTACCCTTCACGACTGAACAGAAAATAACACTTTCAAGCCAGGAACAGAAAAAGTTTCAAATTTTGTTAACATTTATCATTTATATTGGATAGTATTATAGTCAAGCTATGCCTATAGGGCCCCCTGGTGGTGCAGCAGATTAAACTGCTGCGGACACAACTAGACAATGTCAAGGGGAAACCTTTACCTTTACTTATGCCTGTAAAGTACAGCACATATGAAACATATATGAGCTGAGACTTTGGATCCATCTCCAAGATATCTTATTATGATATGCAAATGCAGGTATTTTAGAAACCGAAACACTTTTGTTCCCAAGTATTTGATAGGGGATGATGAAGCTATAGTGCTGTTGCAGCTAATATTGTTTGGTGTACCAAATGTAATGTCTTTATCTAGGGCCCTTCCACACACCCATGTAACCCAGAATATTAAGTCAGAAAATCCCACAATATATGCTTTGAACTGGGTTATCTGAGTCCACACTTTAAAGCAGATAATGTGGGATTTTATTCAACTATGTGGAAGGGGCCCTAGATTAGAATTCTTCTGATTAATGTCTAGTAGGATGGAGGGGTTCTCCCATCAATCACTTTTACTAATTTCTTAACTTTTGCCCTCTCCTTCCATCAGAATCCTGCTCCCCAAAACCTTTACTGTTTGTATACAATCATTTATAATAACATTATGCATTTTCCTTCCCTTAATGGGTTGGAGAGTGAGGCTTTCCTCTTTCCTTGCTATGTGAAATATTGTGTTCATTAAACCAAGTATAAAAATTAGATTGTAGTCGCAGTGAAAAATATCAATGCGTGATCTTCAGAAATGTTTCTGGGATGTAAATAATTATAATACTTGTAATAGAAGAATGGCTATTGGGTTAAGCTTCTGGTTTTATTTGTTGTGTTGGGGTAGTATTTTGCATAGGGTATTCTCTGAAGATCTATGTAACCACCTCTGTTCCTTCTTTTCATTCTAGTAATGGCAACACTGCAATTGCCAGCCACTAACTTAGCCAACTTGGCAAATCTACCCCCCGGCACCAAACTGTACCTTACTACAAACAGCAAGAATCCTTCTGGGAAAGGGAAACTGCTGCTCATACCTCAAGGAGCCATTCTGCGGGCTACAAACAACGCCAGTGAGTATTATTCTACTGTGGCTCAGACCAACATCATTAAAGTATTGAATAATGGAGCTAAACTACATTTCGTATGTGTATATATTATTATTTTTCTTCCAGATCAACAGTCAGGCTCTTCAACAAGTGCAAGCGGAGGAACCCAAAGCACAAGCACTGGTTTATCTCAGCATCTCACTTACACCTCCTACATCCTCAAACAAACACCGCAGGTAAGCTCATAATCTATATATATAAATCTGTTAGGTTGGTTCAACGGGACAGCAAAACTCAACCCCCCAACGAAACTTAACCAAAATTCCCATGCCCATAACACAACCCACAAGGTACAAACATATCTACTCAAAATGAAAAACAACACAACAACACACTCACAAAACGGCAAAACAACAAAACTCAAAAAAACTCCAATGAAACTTAACCAAAATTCCCATGCCCATAACACAACCCACAAGGTACAAACATATCTACTCAAAATGAAAAACAACACAACAACACACTCACAAAACGGCAAAACAACAAAACTCAAAAAAACCAACGAAACTTAACCAAAATCCCCATGCCCATAACACAACCCACAAGGTACAAACATATCTACTCAAAATGAAAAACAACACAACAACACACTCACAAAACGGCAAAACAACAAAACTCAAAAAAACCCCAACGAAACTTAACAAAATTCCCATGCCCATAACACAACCCACAAGGTACAAACATATCTACTCAAAATGAAAAACAACACAACAACACACTCACAAAACGGCAAAACAACAAAACTCAAAAAACCCCAACGAAACATAACCAAAATTCCCATGCCCATAACACAACCCACAAGGTACAAACATATCTACTCAAAATGAAAAACAACACAACAACACACTCACAAAACGGCAAAACAACAAAACTCAAAAAAACCCAACGAAACTTAACCAAAATTCCCATGCCCATAACACAACCCACAAGGTACAAACATATCTACTCAAAATGAAAAACAACACAACAACACACTCACAAAACGGCAAAACAACAAAACTCAAAAAAACCCCAACGAAACTTAACCACACACACACACAAAACCCCACGCTCCATCACTCCCCCCGCCGCCGCACACACACACACAACCCCACGCTCCATCACTCCCCCGCCGCCGCACACACACACGCAACCCCACGCTCCATCACTCCCCCGCCACCGCACACACACACGCAACCCCCCCTGCCGCACGCACACACAACCCCATGCTCCATCACTCCCCCTGCCGCACACACAGATGCAACCCCACACTCCATCACTCCCCCCACCGCCACACACACACGCGTAACCCCACTCCCCCCGCTGTCGCACACACACACGCAACCCCACGCTCCATCACTCCCCGCCGCACACACACACAACCCCACGCTCCATCACTCCCCTGCCCCAATCTTACCTCCTTTTACTTCAGCCACCTCCAAACCCCACCCCGCCCCTTCCCGCCCTGTCAAAATCCAGGAAAGACAGGAAGGAAGGAAAGAAGGAAGAAAGAGAAAGGGAGGTAAAGAAAAAAGGGGGAAGGAAGGAAAGTTAGAGAAAGAAGGAAGAAGAAAAGGAAAGAAAAGGAAAGATGGAAGGAAAGAAAAGAGAGACAGCAGAAGAGAAAGAAAAAGGGGTAAGGAAGGAAAGAGAGAAGGAAAGGAAAAAGGGAAGAGACCAGAAGAGAAAGAAAAAGGGAAGGAAGGAAGGAGAGAAGGAAAGAAAAAAGGGAATGAAGGAAGGAAAGAGGGAGGGAAGGAAGGGGGAAGATGTAGAGAAAGAGGGAGGGAAGGAAAGAAGGAAAGAGAGAAGGAAGAAAAGAGACCAGAAGAGGAAAGAAAAAGGGGAAGGAAGGAAAGAGATAGAGAAGGAAGAGGAGAAGGAAAGATGGGAAGGAAGGAAGGAAGGAAGGAAGGAAAGAAGGAGAGAAAGAGGGAAGGTTGGCCACAGCAACGCGTGGCGGGTAAAGGTTGTTATTTCTATTATTATTATGCTATTATTCCTATGAGACCCTGGGGGAATGGGAGAGGTGTCAGGTCCCAGAGGCAATGCATTGCATTATTGTTATTGTTATGATGGTGTGAAATAAAAGGAAATAAAAAGAGAAAGAAGGAAGCAAACAGGGAGGGAAGAAAGGCAAAGGAAGAAGGGGAGGGAGGATGAAACAAAGTAGTGAAAGAAGGAAAGAAAGAAAGAGGTAGAGAAGGAAGAAAGGAGAGAAAGGGGGCGGAAAAGGGGGAAGGAATAGGTAGGTACCTCTCTTTCATAATAGTCCAGATATCTACCTCAACTTTGATAAGTTTTACTATAGGCCACAGCAACGCGTGGCAGGGCACAGCTAGTACAATATATAGTTCTCTACTCTCACTTTAGAGCAGAGTGTGTTTTATCTTTCCTTGAGAGAACAGAGAAGGAACTACTACAAGGAGATGTAATGCTCTCTACGTGGGGCTACCCTTGAAAACGGCCCAGAAATTTCAATTGGTTCAACGAGCGGCGGCCAGGTTGTTAACTGGTGCTCCTTACAGGGAGCGGTCAACCCTTCTGTTTAAGGAGCTCCATTGGCTGCCGTTCATTTTCCGGTCCCAATTCAAGGTGCAGGTGCTTACCTACAAAGCCCTAACGGTTTGGGACCCGCCTACCTGCGTGACCGCATCACTGTGTACGAACCCACGCAATCTCTTCGATCATCTGGAGAGGCCCTGCTCGCGCTCCCGCCTCCATCGCAAGCGCAATTGGTGGAGATGAGGGACAGGGCCTTCTCAGTGGTGGCCCCTCGACTCTGGAACTCACTCCCCAGGGATATCAGACATGCCCCAACACTGACAGTCTTTAGGAGGAGCCTGAAAACGTGGTTGTTCCAGTGTGCCTTCCCAGAATAAGGAAACTCCCAGCAATATGTCTCTAAAACCACTTTATTAGTGATCTAGGATTGTTTGAATGCTCTTTCCCTCCCCAAAATTTCTATCATGTTTATATGTCACCTGGTCACACCCAGCATTATTTTTTAAAATTTTAATTAGTACATTTGGCCCTGCCATAGGTTTTTAAAAGTCATTGTGTTATTGATAATGTTTATTGCTATTTTCGGTTTATGAGTTTTATTTATTGTTTGTATTACTGTTGCTATTGTTTTTATTGTTGTATTGTGGGCTTGGCCTCATGTAAGCCGCACCTAATCCCTTGGGGAGATGGTAGCGGGGTACAAATAAAGTTGTTGTTGTTGGTATTATTATTATTATTATTATTATTAATAATAATAATAATAATAATAATAATAATAATAATAATATTATGTGGAGAATGGTTGAAGCAGTTGTCGATTCTGTAGCACCAATATATTTTGGGCTGCTAAACACGACTTTGGGAACTGTTTTCTGCTATAGTATTATCTGTATTTACTTATAACCGTTTCCTACTTGGTTCCAGGGCACATTTTTAGTGGGCCAGCCATCTCACCAGAGCTCTGCAAAGCAAGTGGCATCAGGAACGGTTGTGCAAAGCAGTGCGAGTGCCGCAGCATCGTCTTCACAAGGACATCAGGCACTGAAAGTAATAACTGGACACAAAACAGCTGCTTTATTTGCACAGGTAGTTCCAGAGTCATGTTTGGCTGTGGTTAGTGTTGACGTTCAAGGAGCCACATATCTGGTTGTCTTTACATGTGCCTATGAAAGTGTTTTGAGTTTATATATCTTGAACCTCAGCTCTTCTGACATAACAGAATTGCTTTGGGAAGAAAAGAAACTTTTGAGAACGGTTGAATGAGAAGGGCAGATGGAGGATGGTGGCCGGGGGAGGGGGAGAGCGTTTTCACATAAACAAAAATGTGACCCAAGTGTTTGGTTATGCCTGTAATACAGACATGGACAGACTTTGGCCGTCCATGTGTTTTGGACTTCAACTCCCACAATTGCTAAAAGCATGGAGGGCCTAAGTTTGCCCATGCCTGTTTTAGTAGCTCTCTAGATTCCTGCTTTTATTTCAGAGTCATTTATCACAGGAATAACACAGCATTTTAAAGCACTCAACCTCTTAATCAGAAGAATGGAAATTCAGGAACAGAACAGAGAAAGTTTCCACTATTCCTTTAGATTTATTATGTGGAGACAGGGCTATTGAGCCCTAAAGAAAAATCGAATGTCTTGTTTTTTAGAAGGTTTTTTGCTTCCAAGCCTTATATCTTGGAAATACACTTTCTGCTTGTAACTAAGACAAAGCAAGTGCAAATTAAGTCGCTGCATTTTGCTTTCCTGTTGTTTATTCGTCTACCTTCTGTGCTCCCACTTTCTTTATCAATTTCCCTGCATCTAATTTTTCTAAACTCCTCAGGGGAGCTTTGACTCCATAAAACACCATGCACAGCTAATGCTACATTAATATTTATATGAGCCTTTTGACAATTGTGCAGAATCGTTCATGTCCTAGTGCTAGGCAAAACAGAAACATTCAGAAAACAGACAGGATGAACATACTTGAGAAGTTATTTTTATTTTTTTCCCCAATGCAATATGTGTTGCATCATTATTTCAGTTTGACAGCAGCATTTTAAAATTCTAAGGGCTGAACTAGACTGTCAGAGAGTGTGTATGTTTTAAAGTCTTTCCGTGGTGTGGATTTGTTTGCCTGATGGGACCTGCCTGATGGTCAGGGTGGAACTATAGAAGGCCTGGGCCAACAGGGAAACTTAGGGCCGGGGAAGTGGGTAAAGTGGAGAACAGGGTCCTAATTAATGGCCAGGGTAGGGCCTGGGGCTATTCATTTCCTAGACCTGCTGAAAAGCTGTAATACGGCTGGGCCAGGGCCAGTCCCAAAAAGTAAGCTTCCCAAGCTCTCTTGGTATTCCATGTTGTCAGGACCACTCCTAAGAATTTTAAAAGGGATTGTCGATGGGAGAAATATATGTTTGTTTTCATTACCATGTCAAAGCTGCTGTTTAGAATCAATCCATTTTGTAAAAGTGCAGTTTCCATTTAAACACATGTTTCATTTCAAAGGCAGCTTCTGGTGGGCAAACTTCACTGGTGAAAATATCAGATAACTCATTGAAATCCTTACCAGCATCATCACAGCTCTCAAAACCTGGCACCACAGTGCTAAGAGTATCTGGCGGGGTGATCACTGCCGCAACAACTCCTCCTGCGACACTTCCGTCAAATGGAGTATCTCAGGTAAGGCCCAGAATGAGTTAGCATGTGCATCAGTGTTCAGATGCAAGCAAAACTTATTAAGAAGGTGACGATGCAAGATCATGTACTGAAGTTAAGAGTCATTTGTTTTTAACTTAATAGGGTCAGATGTATTTTAGATTTTGAATATAGGGTTCTTTTTAAAATTGCTTTGAGTTTTGGGTATATTTTCTTGGCTTGAGATAATAATAATAATAATAACAACAACAACAACAACAACTTTATTTGTACCCCGCCACCATCTCCCCTATGGGGACTCGGAGCGGCTTACATGGGGCCAGGCCTGAACAACAATTACAATAAAGAGAATCAAAACACAACCGAAAACGCAAACAATAAACAACATCATAATTACATAGAACATATGAATACATAACAATATAAGAATTACAATAGACACAGACACAGAGACAATGGGTGGGCTGCATGTAATTATTAAAAACAACTAATTAAAACTGAGATAGTATTGATGAACTACTCATTTCTCACTGTTGGCCAGGTTGGCAGGGGTTGATGAGTAATAATTTTGTCATACACAGGTAATAGCTACCAGTTCAGCAGCCCACTTTTTAAAATACAGTAAGTAGGAAATCTGTGGCTTTTTACATGATGTTGGATGCCATGTGTTATCATCCCTAACAAATGCCATGCTAACTGGGGTTGATAAAATCAGAGTCCAGCAAAATCTATATAGGTTGCTGTGAGTTTTTGGGCTGTATGGCCATGTTCCAGAAGCATTCTCTCCTGACGTTTCACCCACATCTATGAGAGAACATCAGGAGATAATGCTTCTAGAACATGGCTATACAGCCCAGAAAACTCACAGCAGCCTAGTGATTCCAGCCATGAAAGCCTTCAACAACACAAAATCTATATAAATTCTGCAAAAGGACACCATGAAGGCAAGTTTCCTTCTTTCACAAAATTATCTGGCAAATGATTTGACTAGGAAAACACAAAGGTTACCAGTGACCTCAAATAAATAGAATCACAGAGTTGGAAGAGACCACATGGGCCATCTAGTCCAACCCCCTGCCATGTAGGAAAACAACAATCAAAGTATCCCTGACAGATAATATTTGACAAAGACAATCTTTGAAGATCTCAATAACTATATATTTTGACTGATATTTTAAAGCAGTATTACCTAGCTGAGAAGCAGAGTTGCAGGGAAGAATTAGCAAGCGCTTTTTTGTGTCAGGAGCGACTTGAGAAACTGCAAGTCGCTTTTGGTGTGAGAGAATTGGCCGTCTGCAAGGACATTGCCCAAGGGATGTCCAAACGTTTAATGTTTTACCGTCCTTGTGAGAGGCTTCTCTCATGTCCCTGCCTGGGGAGCTGGGGCTGACAGAGGGAGCTCATCCACGCTCTCCCCGGATTCAAACCTGCAACCTTTCGGCCTTCGGTCAGCACAAGGGTTTAACCCATTGTGCCACCAGAGGCTGGAGAAGTTAACTACCCTCTTTCTCTCTTATTGATTCTCTTCTGATACCTTTGCAAATGTAGATGTATGAACTGGAATTTGCCCAAAACACCTAGGGAATTTGTGTTTCCCTAGGTGATTTTGCAGTTATTTTTCTGCTTTTTTATTTTTCAGTCTGATAATATGAAAAGTATGTTGACCTCTTTGCCTCTGCTTTTTCTCCCAGCCTGCAGATAGTGCAGGTTCTAACTCATCTCCAGCTGCAGGCCCTGTAGTGAAGGCATCTGGGCAACAACAGCAAGGGCCTGTCAGCCAAGCTCAAACAGCATCAGCAGCGCCTAACAAGACAAGCTCATCTGCCGTTGTAAGCATTGCTTCTTGGGTTACTTCTCCCGCCCCAACACCTGGGAAAACGACCGTATCAGGTAATCAGGCCTTGCTCCTGACTCTTGCTCTTATCACTTTAGCATAAGACATTAATTCCTAGTGCTGAAATTGGAGGTTTTGGAGCACCTCTCTATTATATTCCTGTGATGTGTCTTAGAAGCATAGAATCATAGAGTTGGAAGAGACACCAAGGACTATCCAGTCCAGCCCCATACTGCCAGGCAGCAACGCTCAATCAATGCATTCCTAATAGATGGCAATCCAACTTCTGTTTAAAAGCCTCCAGAGAAGGAGACTTTATCAAACTCCCAGGCAGCATTTTCCACTGCTGAACAGCTCTTACCATCAGGAAGTTCTTCCTAATGTTTAGGTTACCAAAAGAATCGTAGAAGTGCTCGAGGTATTCTGGTTAGCTGAGCAACGTGTGCTCAGAACTAAGATGTATCAAATTGCAAGGAATGTGGGTGTCTGGCATGAGTTACTTTGATAACTAAGATGTGATGCCTTTCAGAAGGAACAAGTGAGAATTTTATGGTTTTATTACTAAGGTGAAAAACATTTCTGGTTATCAAAGGCTTTCATGGCCAGTACTACTGGGTTGCTGTGAGTTTTTCTGGCTGTATAGCCATGCTCCAGAAGCATTCTCTCCTGACGTTTCACCCACATCTATGGCAGGCATCCTCAAAGGTTGTGAGGCAGTTGTTCTCAACCTGGGGTCCCCAGATGTTTTTGGCCTTCAACTCCCAGAAATCCTAACAGCTGGTAAACTGGCTGAGATTTCTGGTAGTTGTAGGCCAAAAACTTCTGGGGGGCCCAGGTTGAGAACCTCTGTTGTGAGGTCTGTTGGAAACTAGACAAGTGGGGTTTATATATCTATGGAATGTCCAGGGTGGGAGAAAGAACTCTTGTCTGTTTGAGGCAAGTGTGAATGTTGCAAATGGTCACCGTGATTAGCAACTTCAAAGCCTGGCATTTTTAAGGGGAATTTTTGAATATGCTGAAAGTTATTTAGAGAATATTTTTTTCCAGTTTTGTGCTATCAAGTTGTAATTTTTTTAATGAAAGAAACTTAACACAATATGTTACTTAATTGTGGAATGAGCAATGGAGTGGGTTTTTTAAACCTACAATGGGGTAATAGGAAAGGATTGCTATAAAAATATTTTCATGTTCTGTGTGTGTGTCTTCACATATATTGTTAGACTCAATTTCTGCATGAACTCTATCCAACCTAATCAGTAGAGGGGGACAGTCAAGGCATTTTTAAAGTTGTTGTGTGTCCAAATGGTCACCCAGTCACAGCTCTGAACACTCGGTGTTCAAATAGGCAAACAATTTAATCGTGGACTGACAACAAACATTCAGATTAGAAGGTCCTAAAACTTTGATTTCCAATCTCACAACAGTTTTATGTTTTTTACCATGTTATTGCTAAGTTTGGTAGTATTTTTAGGGATTTTTCTTGGAATTCATGTGTCTTCTGGTGCTGGACAGGCTAAGAAAACAAATGCTAAAAGAAATTTCTGTGTAATATGCATTTTTAATTCTATATTGGAGCCCCCGGTGGCACAATGGGTTGAACCCTTTTGCCGGCAGGACTGCAGCTCAAATTTCAGGGAGCGGGGTGAGCTCCCGTCTGTCTGCTCCAGCTTCTCATGCAGGTACATGAGAGAAGCCTCCCACAGGATAGCAAAATATCTGGGCGTCCCCTGGGCAATATCCTTGCAGATGACCAATTCTCTCACAACAGATACAACTTGCAGTTTCTCTAGTTGCTCCTGACACACAAAAAATCTATATTCGGTCCACTAGCCCTCCCTCCCCTATCACTTTAAAAGAAATCACTTTTGCCACAATCTGAACATCAGGAATACAGATAGCTGAAAACTCCTGCTCATGAACTGCTATAACGAGAGGAACGATACCAAGTTCAAAAGTCTTTCAAAGTGTCTTGACATCTGGAGAGCCATAGCTTCTTGCTCCTGCTTTTAAAGTATTTTAAAAACTGCCTGTCCCCATGTAAACTTTCCAGAGCCTTGAGAGGCTCCAAACATTGCCCCTTGGGCCATCATTAGTGAAAGTGATGGGAAGTACCAGACATCATGCTTTTTCCACCCAGTAGCTTCATCATAATTGCAGTATATGCACCAAGCTTCAGCTCTTTCTCCCTCAGAGATCTGATATTTTTATTTCTGTTATGCCATCTCTTTGTTTTCCAGTGTTGCTGTACTTTTCTATATATATAAAACTATCTTAAAACAAAAGGTTATAAATGATTTGAATTCTGCATTGGCTTTATGCACGACTACCCAGAGGCCACAAAATTCTTAAATTTTGCTTCCAGAAAATGCTCAGATGGATTTGGGTACATCTCCATCCAAGGAGAGTGAATCAGGCCAGCAGCAGCATCTGGCAGCCTTGGGCAGCTGACAGGGTGCCAATGCCCTGGCAGGACCTGCTTGGCTTCCCCCATATTGCACATTTTATTTTTAATTTTTTCAACCCTATTAAGAGTGCCAGACCTCAGGATCTAGCAACATTGTTGGAGGGCATTGTCGGAATTTGAAGCAAGGGCCATCCACCACTGTTTGAAGCACTGCCACAGATTAAGCCCCCTAGACCTACTGGCAGAGAAGGGAGTCCATCCGAGAACACTTCGCAGAACTTGGAAGATAATAGAATCATTAAACAGAATCACTGAGTTGGAAGAGACCACAAGGGTCATCCAGTCCAACCCTTTGCCATGTAGGAAAACACAATCAAAGCACTCATGCGTATGTCAGGGGCAAGCTTGGGAGCAAAAATTATGGATGTTGATATGACCCATAGTTAAGTCAAGGGTTCTTTCACAGAGAGGGGAAAGTGCCAGCTCTTCCTCAGGAGGCCAGCTATCTCTGGCCTCCACCACCTGCACAAGTATTAATAAAGGACAGAGCAGCACCATGATGGAGCGAGTAGAATGGTATATGCTTCTAAGTTTCCCATCATGGACTAAACTTCCACATTTTGCTACTTTAACCAAATACGTTTTCTTTTTTAATAAGAGTTAATGCATTGTATTTACATTGACCCATAGATAAGTGGAGTTACGCTTTTGGCGTCAGTTTTTTTCATTCAAATTTCTAAATATATACATCAGTATACAACTTCCAGGACCCACTGCCAGCTGGTTGGAGAATTTGGGAAGACAAAGACAAAGTCATTTTCCCAAGGTTTATAGTTTGTCCAGGATTTTCTTCAAACAGGAGATGATGCTGGAAGAGAATTGTCACGGAAGACCATTTTATCTCTATCCTTGCAATGAATGAGTACTCCAGATGCAGTTAGCTCCTGTTGCAAGATTGGTGATCGGGCATTTTTCTGCAAATTTCCAATAAAGAAAACATAGCACCTACAATTCTCAATCTGATTCAGTGTTGTAAAGTTCAGCCTGTGGTGGTGTCCGATATTACTGTTAATGGGGATTCTGGGCCTGAGATTTTAAGTCCTGAAACTGAGCAGTCTGTGCCTCCAGCTAGTCAAGGCCACATTCCAGAGGATGAAGCAGAGCTGATCTCTAGGGAAAGGAGTTCAGAGGCTGAAACTCCAGGTGCCGAGAACATTGAATCTCAAGATAATATTAATGAGCTTGTTGATAGGAGACCTAGCTTTAGCAGACTTCTGGCTGATCAACAAAGAATATGCAGATCACAGCCTGTATCTGAATCTCATGTGAAAAGACATGATTTTTTTGGGTATATTAGACAGGTTGGGAGTTTTGCTCAGCAATTTGGTCAACTGGGTTGATGTAGGTTTTTCGAGCTATATGACCATGTTCTAGAAGCATTATTTCCTGATGTTTCGCCTGCATCTATGGCAAGCATCCTCAGAGGTTGTGAGGTCTGTTGGAGCTAGGAAAATTGGGTTTATATATCTGTGGAATGTCCAGGGTGGGAGAAAGAACTCTTGTCTGTTTGAGGTAGGTGTGAATGTTTCAACTGGCCACCTTGATTAACATTTGATGGCCTGGCAGTTTTTTGGTGTGGTTTCTTAGTGCCTGGGGGAATCTTTTGTTGAGAGGTGATTACCTGTCCCTGATTGTTTCCTCTCTAGAATTTCCCTGTGTTAGTGTTGTTTTTCTGTTATAATTTTAGAGTTTTTTTAATACTGGTAGCCATATTTTGTTCATTTTCATTGTTTCCCCCTTTCTGTTGAAATTGTCCACATGCTTATGGATTTCAATGGCTTCTCTGTGTAATCTGACATGGTGGTTGTTAGAGTGGTCCAGAATTTCTGTGTTCTCGAATCATATGCTGCGTCCAGGCTGGTTCATCAGGTACTCTGCTATGGCTGACTTCTCTGATTGAAGTAGTCTGCAGTGCCTTTCATGTTCCTTGATTCGTGTTTGGGCAATGCAGCGTTTGGTGGTCCCTATGTAGACTTGTCCACAGCTGCATGGTATACAGTAGACTCCTACAGAAGTGAGAGGATCCCTCTTGTAATTTGCTGAACGTAGCATTTGTTGGATTTTCTTAGTGGGCCTGTAGATAGTTTGTATATTATGTTTCCTCATCAGTTTCCCTATGCGATCAGTGTTTCCTTGATGTATGGCAAGAACACTTTTCCTCTGGGTGGATCTTTGTCTTTACTCTCATGGCTTGTTCTCGGTCTTGGCTCTTCTGATGTCTGAGATGGAGTATCCATTGGCCTGTAGAGCCCAGTTTAGGTGGTTCAGTTCATCTTGAAGGAGGTGGGGTTCGCAGATTCTTTTTGCATGGTCTGCCAAGGCTTTAATGGTGCTTCTTTTTTTGACTTGGGTGATGGTTGGAGTTTTTATGTAAGTATCTATCCATGTGTGTGTAGGTTTTCTGTAGACTGTGTGACCCAATTGTTGATCCGGTTTGCGGATGACTAGGACAACGTAGTCTAGTCAACATTGATAATGGAGACAACAGCTCTTGTCAAGCCATGCCTGCTTAGAGTCTTCTAGTTTCATGCCTTTGTTCATGCTCATGTTATCAAGTACCAGCAATTATTCCTGTATTTCTGCATTGTTTCTGGGGTTTTCTTGTATTTCTGTTTTGGATGTCTTGCTGCCTTGGGACTCTTGATGATCCTTGTGCCTGGAACCTTATGGATTATTGATAAATTTGGATTTTGAAGTTTTTATTATTTATGCTGTTTGCTTTTTATATGATTTAACCTGGACTGGCATGAGGTGGTTAAGTACAGAGGTTTTTCCTGGCCTGGGATGCAACATTCAGGTCTCCACTGGCTGCTGTTAGTTTGGTTGTATTTTTACACAAATTTATCACTCTTGTGACATGCTTAGAAGGTAAATTCTCAATAATGAAGCAAGCTGAAAGGAGTGTGTCAGCAACCAATATATACTGGACTCCACTGCTATTTCTTGAACTTGCCTGCAAAGATCATAACAGTGGGTCTTTGTTCTCAGCTGACAATAGTCGCAGTGGTTACATTGCTGCTTCAGTACTGTGTAAAACCCATTGTTAACCATTACAAAAACACCTGTATTCCTTTTTTATCATTATAATTGTGTGTGTGAGAGAGAGAGAGAAAGAGAGAGAGAAGCCATTTAATGTCTGTCTTCATCAGGTGGCAATTTTGAGGCAATGATTGGTCTGATTTGTTCATCAGCTTCCCATCTTGTGGGGGAAATAGTTCATAGTACTGATGATCAGATAGGAAAACTATCCTCATGGTCTCTTTCGCTTGTGAGGTATGGAGTACGGTGCTTTAAATATATATACCATTTTCATTTTAGGAGTGTTAAAGATCCACTCTGGTCAGAATAGCCCACAACAGGCTGTTTTGACAGTCCCCAGCCAACTCAAGCAACTCGGTGTGAGTGCTGCCTCTGGAGGGGTCCAGACTATATTAATGCCTGTGAATAAAGGTAATGTACACTATGTCAGGATAAGAATGAGTATAGAATTTTAAATGAATTTTATATAGTCCTTACCACTATCAGTTGACATCAAGCTTTTAAGTCCTCCAAATCCATTGTCATCATTATTAAAGCCAACCCAAAATGAACAAAATTGTGAACACAGGTTTTTGAGACCTCCAAATCCCTTTGTGCAGTGATATGTTACCGCAAAATGGTGTAGTGAAAATGCTGACAAGAGGATTTTTAAGGTGCATCTATATTGTAGAATTAATGTAGTTTGACTGGGTTGCTGTGAGCTTTCCAGGCTATATGGCCATGTTCCTTAAGCGTTTTCTTCTGATGTTTCACCCACATACATGACAGGCATCCTCAGAGGTTGTGAGGTTTGTTGGAAACAGGGCAAGTGGAGTTTATATATCTGTGGAATGTCCAGGGTGGGAGAAAGAACTTTTGTCTGTTTGAGGCAAGTGTGAATGCTGCAATTGATCACCTTGATTTAACACTGAATAACCTTGCAGCTTCAAGGCTTGGCTGCTTCCTGCCTGGGGGAATCTTTTGTTGAGAAGTGATTAGCTGGCCCTGATTTTTTTTTGTCTGGAATTCCCCTGTTTTTGAGTGTTGTTCTTTCTTTACTGTCCTGATTTTAGAGTTTTTAAATTCCTGATTTTAGAGGGTTTTTTTAAGTGGTTCATCAGGTGTTTTGCTATGGCTGACTTCTCTGGTTGAATTAGTCTCCAGAGCCTTTCATGTTCCTTGATTCGTGTTTGGGTGATGCTGCATTTGGTGGTCACTATGTAGACTCATCCAATGTAGTTCAATGGCACTTTAACTGCCATGGTTCAATGCTATGGTGTTGTGGGAGCTGTAGTTTTACACCTTTTCTGCAAAAGACTGGTGTTTCACCAAACTACAAATCCCATAATTTTATAGAATTGAACCATAGCAGTTTAAGCAGTGTCAAGCTGTATTCATCCTGCATTGTAGGTCCACCTGTAGTATCTGTTCCAAAAACAGATGGCCTATAGTTCTCTACTAAGAGTTTTAAAATAATTCATGCAATTGTTCTATTGCTGAAATGTACAAATTTAACCAGCACACATTAATAGCATTTCTCCTTTTTTCCCCCTCAGTGATACAGTCACTTTCTTCCAACAAAGTGTCTGCGGTTACACCTGTAACTTCAGCTAATTCAGCTGTTCCCAACCCTTCCACAGTGTCTGTTGCAAAAGGTAAAATATTCAAATCATGTCATGGAGGATAATTACTTAGCAATGTTCATGGTTTCATTGAATAGAGATGTAATGACCTCATTTTAGGGTACTGTCTGTGACTATCTGGGTCAAATCTATGTTGGAATTTCTGTTGAGGAGCCACTAAATGTGTCTTCATCTCCAATGTGGGTTGAAAATATAAAGACCATCAACCTGATAATGTCAAAACGGACATGCAGGAATATGCCACTGAAACTTATAACACCAAACAGTGTATAAGTTCAGGACATAAACTTGAGGTGAGATTATATGACAAAAAGGAATTAGCACATCCATGATCAGATTTTTCTGTGCAAAAAGTAAATGTGCCACGAGGAATGTGCAGTGAATTGGGTATGTGCATGTTTTATAGGCTTTGCAGTTAAACATGGCCCATCTAAAAGATGCATATTGGTGTCTCTAAAAATGTATAGAGATGGTGCTAATTTACTTGGTTATATTATTATTATTATTATTATTATTATTATTATTATTATTATTTGATATACAACAAGATTAGTACACACCAAACAAGATCACTATGCTGGCTTTTGTATTCGATCACACGTTGGACACTTCTCAAGTGTCTAGGAACGTGTCATGTATCAGCGAATAATCCGTGCAGATCTGAGCAGTGTGGCCTTTTGCAGCTGACAAGTGGCAATTTTGTCAATTGTTTTTAAGTGCAGCCCAAGGTCTTTAGGCACTGTACCCAGTGTGCCAATCACAACTGGGACCACCTTTACTGGCTTGTGCCAGCGTCTTTGTAGTTCTATCTTTAAATCCTTGTTTAAGCTTTTCCACTTGCTTCTCATCAATTCCTTTTTATATTTTTGCTGTTAAAGTCCTAATCCACTTTCTTTGTAATTGTTCTGTTGTCATCTGAAGTTAAGCTGGAGCCTGATCCTGCGGGGCAGAGCTGCAGTTCCCTGGTTTCCCAAGACGGTGCAGTGTCAGTAAAGGCAGAAGAGAGCTCTGAACTTGGAAATTACATCATTGGGTAATTATTCTTGCTCAGTTTAAGAACAAAACAGGGATCTAACTCATGTAGAAAGGAGAAGGATCATAATAAATATTGCACTGTACTTTTACAATACACTGGAATTTAGTGAGTTGAGAAGGCAAATAATGTTGTTCTAAATCTAATGCAACAAGTTCTGATGATTCTGAAATAACGCTTCCCTAAGTAAGATTTTTGACTGCTTAGTGAAGCTCAGTTTGGAAAGTCTTGGGCTGCTTATATCATAACGGCCTTCAGGGTGGGACCTTGATTAATATGCAGTCCCAGATTTTTTTGCCTAGCAAGGCAGAAACAATGCTCTGCAAATGTACAATAACAGTGTATTTATTTGTTCTGCTGTATCAGGCATTGTATACTGCAGCAGTTCCCAAACTGTGTCACGTGGAATTCCAGGGGTTCGGCAAAAGAACTTTAAAGCCTTAAAAAAACTGTTTTAAAAGTCTGGGCCAAATAATGAAGATGTTATTGAAATTCAATGTGCATCTGCTTTAAAATGAAATTTGAATCTCTTTATTTTCACACCTATCTATCTATACTCATAATAAAAGTGAAAATATGTATGTATTTATTTGGGGTTCTTTTACTCCGCCCTTCTCACCCCGAAGGGGACTGTATGTATGTGGCTGGGGTGTCCACTTACAGAGACAACCTTCTGCCTCCACAAACAGCTACTCAGGAGACACCAATGGCCCTTCCTCCAATGACATTGCAAGTTATAGTGAGTGCAGTGAACGTGTACAAAAGCCTTGCCAATGTCCTCCGGAAATACCATACTACCCACCACCCAAGTAAAGGCTTTCTTGCGGGGACAATTCCATTGTAGTTAATTGACAACCTTATGTATTTTGTAGAATTAAAAATTGTCTTTTTCAGACGAAAAGGCAGTGCCAGGTACCCAAGCTAGTATTATATATGCCCAGGTAATAGTAGATGAAGGTAGGAAGACTTTTGTGGGTTCAACTGTGCTTAAGCACAGTGTTAGTGTGCTGTGGGGTGACCAAGAGTTTGGGAACTTCTATACTCAATGCACTGTTGGAAGCTGCATTTTTGTGTCTGTGGAAATACCCATAGAAATAAATTGTCTTCCTTACCTGAATTTTACATTTTCCTGAATTTTCTAAAAGAAAGTTAGCCCTCTATGTTTGTTATCTCAGATATTTCTTTAAAGAACTACAGGAAAATTGTGTGTGTAGTTATATGCTGTCTTGTATAACATTTACTCTTCCTTCTTTACAGGGCAGAATATTTAGACAACCTTCAGGAGCTTTTGACAGCAATAGTTAAGAAAGTGCCATTAATTGCTGAGAGAAGTAAGTTCTTGAAGGAAAATACTGCTTGTTAATATCTTATAGGTATCGCCACATTATATGGATTCATAGAATCTACACTATATTTGAGTTAAAGTACGTGTAGCCAAGCATCATTTACACTGCCTGACATGTTTTACAAACTGTCTGCCACAAGTATTTTATATCACTTCATTACAGTAGAAGAAATTGGAGACTAACCTTGAAATCTGCCCCTGCATTATCGATATTCCCTGTTATTTAAACCTGTGGTTTCATAGTAAGATTGGCAGAGTAAAATATGACCTTGTGGGCCATCCAACCCCCTGCCAAGAAGCAGGAAAATCGCATTCAAAGCACTCCCAACAGATGGTCATCCAGCCTCTGTTTAAAAGCCTCCAAAGAAGGAGCCCCCATCACACTTCGGGGCAGAGAGTTCCACTGCTGAACAACTCTCACAGTCAGGAAGTTCTTCCTAATGTTCAGGTGGCATCTCCTTTCTTGTTCTTTGAAGCCATTGTTCCGTGTCCTAGTCTCCAGGGCAGCAGAAAACAAGCTTGCTCCCTCCTCCCTGTGGCTTCCTCTCACATATTTATGTATGGCTATCATGTCTCCTCTCAGCCTTCTCTTCTTCAAGCTAAACATGCCCAGGTTTTTAAGCCACTCTTCATAGGGCTTGTTCTCCAAACCCTTGATCAATGTTGTCGCCCTCCTCTGGACACATTCCAGCTTGTCAACATCTCCCTTCAATTGTGGTGCCCAGAATTGGACACAGTATTCCAGGTGTGGTCTAACCAAGGCAGAATAGAGGGGTAGCATGACTTCCCTAGATCTAGACCCTCTACTCCTAATGATGCAGGCCAAAATCCCGATGGCTTTTGTTGCCACCGCATCACATTGTTGGCTCATGTTTAACTTGTTGTCCACAAGGACTCCAAGAAATATGTTCAGCAGGTTTTTGCTTGTTACCTGGTGGCATAACAAATGCCTACTGAAATCGTCTCTTCTGCACAACTGTAAAGCTTTTACAGATGCATCAATGGTTTTCACTTGTGAAACCTTTTTAATAATAATTAATAATTGAAGACAAGTTATGTCAAATTGCATTGAATTATGTTCTTGGCATAATATGTAGAAGTCTGAAAAATCACAGTACTTTATACTGTGAATAACATTTATTTATTTACCCATTAATGGACAATTTGTTCTGCTTCTCATTGCAAAATTTATAATAAACTAAATGCAATATCAACTGCGGCTATAACAGTTGCAAGTTATCCTCGCAACTATTCATAGACCATGGATATAAATTTTGCTCATGTTGACAATTTTTATGCAACCACTAGTCATTTCTTCCATCTGTCAGTAGAGAGAAAATGCACATTGATTTTCTACCTGCAAGCTGCTGCATTGTTAGCACTGTTAATGTTTCCTTGGTAACTGATGTGCATGAATAGTTGGTAAAATGGAAACAGTAGGAACACTCACAACTCAATGGCATTAAGAAAATGTAATTTATGTATGATAAGCCTGTTGGGGAAAATGCTGTGTGATTGTTGTGAGCCTCATGGTTGGCTTTCTGTTTTTATTTTTTAAAAGCACGTTCTTAACAATGTCTTGTCCATAGATTTTCCTTTATTTTATGTATGAATGCTTTCTAACAGGAAAGTTCCTTACTTTCCTGCAAGGACCATTGCAGCACTTTGATTTAAATTAAGTCAGTCAACTTGATGACAAATAACAACCAGAAGAGTTCTACAAATACTGTGGACAGCTAAAAAAACAAATAAATAGGTCCTAGAGCAAATCATGCCTGAACTCTCCCTTGAAGTCTAATCTGAGACTGTCCTTCTTTGGACATACCTTGGAGTCCTATTCACTAATCTGAGACTATCCTTCTTTGGACACATCATGAGAAGATAGGACTCCAAGATGACCGAGACTGCCTTCTTTGGGCATATTATGAGAAGATAGGACTCCAAAATGACTAATCTGAGACTGCCCTTCTTTGAACATATCATGAGAAGATAGGACTCCAAGATGGCTAATCTGAGTCTGTTCTTCTTTGGACATACCATGAGAAGATAAGACTCCAAGATGACTAATCTGAGACTGTCCTCCTTTGGATATATCATGAGAAGACGAGACTCCAAGATGACTAATCTGAGACTGTCCTTCTTTGGATATATTTATTTTATTTATTTATTTCGTATACTTCTACCCCGCCCTTCTCAACCCCCAAGAGGGGACTCAGGGTGGCTTACAAAAAGGCACATCTTGGTGCCCATATAATACAATAACATATAAAAACAGTAATAAATGGTCAACAATTAAAACAATAAAACAACAATATATCACACAATCGATAGCCAATCTCAAACACAGCGTTCGCCAACTCAGAGTCATATTTCGTTCCACATTGTCCATTCCTATCCGTCATCACAGTCCTTTATTCATCTGCCAGATTGCCCAAACACCTGGTCTCACATCCACTCCCCCTGCGTCTTCAGGGGGAGTGTAACCCCGTCTAACACAGATTTGGAGGCCTCTTATTCATTGGGTTGCCATAACTCAGGATTGACTAGAGAGCAGTTTAACAACAACAATAGCCTTTAATACTATGGCCCAGCAAACCAATGTACTTACCCACCTGCATACAAACCTATCTCCATCTTATGCAGTCTCCTGCTTCTGACATTTTAGAAGTCTTTCCCAGGCCTTGCCTGGTTTTTTTTTTTTCCATGGGGTCATATACTCCAGACACTTTAAAACACATAGTAGGCCACTTCTACAGATATCTAAAACTCCCTTCTATCAGAAAACATTTTTATCTTCTAAAGTATTATTAGCTATTATATCTCTCTCAGTGTACTTCTCGATTTAGTGCTTTTTAAAAAGCCTTTTTAAATGCTCCATAAAAATCCCATTTTCCTTTCTCCTTAACAGGTAAGGTATCCTTCTTTTTTAAGTTATTTTTTGAGATACTTGGCAATGTCATCAAGTGACATGCTACATTTGTTTTCATTGCCATAAAAAGCTGACATTTGTTATAATTCTTCTATGCTTTTTAGCTGAAGATGGCAATTCATTCTGTGCTAGTTCTGTGGAACAGTATTATAGCTGGAATATTGGAAAACGGAGAGCTTCTGAGGTAATCTTCTTAATATATTCTATAAAATAGAGCTTAAACCTTGGAGGAATGTTTGGCTGGAAATCTGTCTCTGTGAAAGGTCACCTTGATGTTTAAAATCTCCTCTGGAATATTTCAGTCAGTTTTGAAATTTATTTTTATTTATCGTGTCAGGGGCAACCAGACCATTGTATTACATTTCTAACGGAACAAAACAAACAGACAGACAGACAAAACACAAAGTTTGCAAGCTTGATAAGTTTTGAAATGAACTTACTTTTTGAATCCAGCACACACTTGTTTTTGTTTTTAATTTAGTGGTATTTGGATGTATTTATTTATTTTAAACATTTCTCCCCACCCCGAAGGGGACTCAAGGCAGAGCACAACATACAAATGGCAAACATTCAATGCTGGGACATGAATAAATTATATGCATACATAAACATTAAAAACATTTGTCTCAGCATAAAAATACACTGTTTAAAAACATCTCAATCATCCGCATCTAGTTGGCATGGAAAGGTTTCCTATCGTTGCTTTATTGCACTGTCCTGAAGGCATGGTCCCACAACCAAGTTTTTACCATCCTTCTGAAGGACAGGAGAAAGGGGGACGATCTAATCTCACCAGGAAGGGAGTTCCATAGCCGAGGGACAATCACTGAGAAGGCCCTCTCTCTTGTCCCTGCCAATCGCACCTGTGATAATGGCGGGATGGAGAGCTGGGCCTCTTCCTCGGAGCTTAATCTCCACAATAGTTCATAGAGGGAGATGTGTTCAGACAGGTAATGAAATGTAAACAAAATTTAATAAATTGTAGCATCATAACCTGAAAATTATTATGTCAGTGGTGATGTTATTCTTTCAGAATTCATCCATATCATCATTTTGTGATGTCCAAAATTGGTCTCAGTAACCTTAAATATTGGAACCATCTTGGTGTAGTTAAAAGTTTTGAAACAGGATTGAGAAAAAGTAGATTGAAGTCGCCATTCAGCAGTGACACTTACTTTAATCAATTATGCTTTCAACCTGACCTGCATTTCAGGATTTTTATGAAAATAAGGGAAGCAAATATGCATGTGTTTGCTCAAGATCCTTGGAGAAAAGGCGGGATAGAACTTAAATTAATTAATCAGACACTACTGCGTTAAAAAAGTCTAATCTTTTAAGTTAATTTTATACATGGAACAAAAACTTTAAGAAAATAAAAGGGAGACTTGAAGAAGTAAAATCAGTGGAATTAAGTTCAGTGTTCACCTTAATTTTCCCATTACATTTTACTGTTGTCATTAACATGGTACGGAAATGTTGACTGTTCATTCATGTTTTCCTTGGTTGTTTTTCTATTTTTCTATCCTGGTTGACAAAATAGCCCTTCTGTTATCAGCAGAAAAATACAGTGGGCATCCAAACAATACTTGCCTTGTTTCCAGATGTCACAAGCTCAAATAATAAATAGGCCTTTGAATACAATTCTAAGTTTCTGGGCCATTACAGAGTTCAAAATAAGATTCAGTTAAAGTTAGACTACATTTATATTATCTAACAGCGTGTCCAGATGTATCAGAAACAGCACTTGTTTGCCATTTTGTGTTTGGAAGCCGCTCTGAGTCCCCTCAGGGAGAAAGAGCGAGTTAGAAATAAAATTTTATTATATTATTATTATTATTGACACAAAAGCACAGTATGTCACAGCAAAGGAGATCTATTTGCTGGTTTCGTATCACAAAATCACAAGTCAAACACTTCCCAAGTGTCTAGGACTGTGTGATGTATTTTCGAATGATGCGCACAGATCCAAGTAAGGATCTTTTATATTATTATTATTATTATTATTATTATTATTATTATTATTAATCTGACACAAAAACACAGTATGACACAGAAAATGAGATATATATGCTGGAATTCATATCACAAAATCACAAGTCGGAACACATATTATTATTACTATTATTATTATTATTATTATTATTATATTGTCAGCAGTACAATCCTGGTGCTCATCTCTGAGTCGATGGCTGTAAACCCAAATGTGCACTCCTAAATTCCTTACATTTGGTGGGGATGTAAGAGAGGGCCTTCTTAGTGGTGGCTCCCGAACTCTGGAATTCCTTGCTCTTTATACTTTGATGTCATCAGTGCCTTTTGGGTAAAAAGGCAATAAATAAATTTAGTTAACTGAAAATAATAAATTGAAGTAACACAGTCATTGTAATGCCCGTGACTAAAAATACTATTCACTGATAGATCCACATCACATCTGATGCACTCAAAGGATAAGACTTGAGCATGTTACACAACACTAAAATCAGGCAACTGAACTGGAAATCCTCATGACTTCTCAGTGCCTGTTTTCTAGAATTCCTATTTTTGTCACACATCTATTGGAGTGAATACTAATCCACAAAAAGTTATACTCCCCAAAATTATTGTTCTTATTTTAAAATAAACCATTGAGCAAAATTCAGTCTTTGCTGCAAAAGGCAGCAACAGTTTCCTATATTACTATGGTTATTCATATTACATTTGTGCTAACGTTTTGAATCTAAAGTCTACTTTTTGGTCTTTCTGACTTTATCCCCCATGGCAGTGGCAACGCGCACTGACAATAAGGAAAATCCTCCATGAAATCATAGAAAAACATCCTAAATTCCATAGTATTAGTCCATTAAAAACCAAGCAAGTTGTCCAGTGGTGTCGCTTCCATGGCTATACGCCGCCTGACCCAGAAGCCCTTAGGAATGAAGACTCCATTGAGGATGTGCTGACACAAATAGACAACGAGCCAGGTATGAACTCTTAATTCCAGGACATCAAATGATCTGTTGTGTTGTGGTGGATGATTTGTCCTCTCTTTGTCTTTAGTAAATAAGACTCATATCCTTAAGAGTTTCATCCTTAGACATCTGGTATGGGATGAGGTCAGGGACCCATGTTTCTCTCCCTGAGATATGATGCAAGGGAAACATAGGCTGTGTTCAACATCTAGATGCAACTTAACTTGAACAACAAACTGAAGAGACCCCATTCAAGAACAAGAGTAGAATATTTTATAATACTGTTTCTTTACCAAACATTACAAGGTATTGGCAAACATGAAGCAAATTAAGATTAAAGTCATTTTTGTTCACTAAATGGTGTTTATTTGGGTTGGTGCTCATATACTGCTACATGTAAGGTTTGTGGTGGGGAGGATATTTGGAAAAACAGCCTTGGGATATCCACATAGTATTTAAACCATATACTGCCCATCGCATGTGTATTCAAAGGTAAACATTGTTATGTTTGTTTGTTTCTGGTTGTTGTTTTATTGTACTGTCATGATCAAGATCACTGGGTTGTTGTAAGTTTTCCGGGCTGTATGGCCATGCTTCAGAAGCATTCTCTCCTGACGTTTCACCTGCATCTATGGCAGGCATCCTCAGAGGTTGTGAGGTCTGTTGGAAACTAGGCAAGTGGGGTTTATATATCTGTGGAATGTCCAGGGTGGGAAAAAGAACTCTGTTGGAGGTAAGTGTCAATATTTCAATTGGCTACCTTGATTAGCATTTAATAGCCTAGCAGTTTCAAGGTCTGGCTTCTTACTGCCTGGGGCAATCCTTTGTTGGGAGGTGATTAGCTGGCCCTTATTGTTTCTTGTCTGGGATTCCCCTGTTTTTGAGTGCTGTTTTTATTTACTGTCACGATTTTAAAGTTTTTTTTAAAAAAAAATCCTGGTAGCCAGATGTTGTTCATTTTCATGGTCTCTTCCTTTCTGTTGAAATTGTCCACATGCTTGTGGATTTCAGTGGCTTCTCTGTGTAGTCTGACATGGTAGTTGTTAGAGTGGTCCAGCATTTCTGTGTTCTCAAATAATATGCTGTGTCCAGGCTGTTGTTTTATTCTTCACTTGGTTTGGCAAGATTCAGGTGAATGTATTAGTTTGGGTTTTTGGGAGGGGGGGGGGGGTTCTTCCAGGCCAGGTCTGTACTATTTTTATAGGCACAAGTATTCTCTCAGGGAAGTAATACAGCAGTCCAGAAATCATGCAGTACTTGATGTTGACAGCTCAAATTGCACATTACAATATGAGCCACTTTCCATGACGTGATTTCTTTCAACCCAGTGTCTAGCTGTACTTAACAATTTGCATAGTTTGTGTATATGCATAAATAAAACATCCCTGTTACTTGTTCACTTTGAAGCTCTTCCCCATCCAGCAGGCTTAGGAGCCAGGAAACAATGTTTCATAAAATATGTACAATATGTAAAATATGTCAACTCTCCATAATGAATTCAACTATCCAAGCCTTGAAAAGATTTCCTCCTCTTCCCCCCCCCCCCAAAAAAAATACCCAAAACAAAATTGAGTTTGCTATTTTATATATCTGCGTATAATGAGACCTAAGCATCCACAGATTTTGGTATCCATGAGGCTACTGGATCCAAACTCAGTTGGACACCAAGGCCCCACTATAATTCATATAATAGCTGGGTCTATTTCATAGCCTGCTCAAAACATTTAACATTCAGTGGCAGYCTCTGTCCTCCCAAAGCCAAGTTATTTTGGGTTGTTTCGGGCTATATGGCCATGTTCTAGAGGCATTCTCTCCTGACGTTTAGCCTGCATCTATGGCAAGCATCCTCAGAGGTAGAGAGCAATATAGGATTGTTACACTTTATTTATATTCCGCTTTATCTCCCCGGAGGGACTCAGAGCGGATTACAGTACATATAAGGCTAGCATTCAATGGCTTTTAACACGAACGACAACATACAATACACATATAATAGTGGTTCTCAACCTGAAATCCCAGCTGGTAAACTGGCTGGGATTTCTGGGAGTTTTAGGCCAAAAACATCTGGGGACCCCAGGTTGAGAACCACTGACATATAAGGTAAAGGTTTTCCCCTTTTTTCAATTTCTGGCATCTGGAGGCAATGCTCAATTTCTGGCCATGGGGAGGTGCTGTTGTTTTATTTCCCATGCCGAAGAAACCTGCTGTCTGTAGATTTCGCTGTCTGCATGGGGCGCCCTTTTACCTTCCCGCTGAGGCGGTACCTATTGATCTACTTGCATTCCATGCTTTCAAACTCCTAGGTTTGCAGAAGCTAGGGCTGACAATCGAGAGCTCACCCTGACTCGTGGCTTTGAACTGTTGACCCTCTGGTCAGCAGACTTTCCTTCAGCTAGTGGCTTATAACCGCTGTGGTACTGTGGCCCTATTGTGGCTTAATTTACTAAATATTGCTGTTTTTCAATGTTTTACTAGAATCGTGAATATGTACTTAAGTTGAGGGCTTTATTTGTTGAGAAGGGATAGATTTTAAAAGGCAGCAAGGTTAGCAAAGAAAGACAAAATTGATTTTACTAGCCATAGGGGCCGCTTTGAGATCAGTTCCACCTAGCACTACCATTCAAAAGATGTCGAAAACAGGAAGACAGTGTTTTCTTGACACACCATCCCACAGTAAAATTCCACGGACAAAGTAGAGGAGTTGGATGGGATAACCACCCAGGGAGATACAAGTAATTATTTCTGACTGTGTCATTTGGATCGGTCTTCAACCTGAAGCTGCAGAAGTGGAAGGATAATCAGGTCTGACTAGAAAGCTTTATAAAAAGCAGTAAATAATAAAGGGAAAGGTCTAATTTGGGTTTCATGGACAACTTCTCAACTGCCTGATACACAAAGGCTAGAGGATTTCACACTGCTGTTTTTGTAGGAAATGTCACCTGCTCAGGCTGTGGGCGAATGTGAAATGTATTAACTGTCACAAAAGGCAGTGTGACTTTTGTGTGGCCCACTACTTTTGCTATAAGTACAACGCCTTCTGATGCAGATTCCTGGAGTGTGTTCTTGTTGGTCTATAGAACGTTTCCGTGTTAACGCTCTCAGGACATTTTTAAGAGCTCCAGAACAGAACATTCACTCCAAAGAGAAGAGATCACATTCTTATTTTTGTCACCTACATAAGAAGTAGCTTCTCTCTGATCTGTTAGTGGACGGGGCTGAAGAGAAAAAAGAAAAATGAGTCTTCGGCTCTAACGCTACCATCTCTGACTTTAAACCTTATTTTTTTGTGTCTGGTCAGAACTTTTGCTCTGGCACAAGACATCCCCTTCCCACTTACTCCTTTCCATAGACAGTCAATCCATGAGTTACAGACATTCGACTTACAAATGACTCATAGTTAAGAATGAAGGTGAGACAAGAAGTGAGAGAAATCTATCCCTCGGAAGGGAAATTCAGTCCTGAAAGCATTATCATGGGGAAAAGATGTCTCCACTGAAGCTTTGTCACCAATCCTTGTTTCCACAACAAGCCAAAATGTTGAAATCCAATTATCACAGGGCCAGAAAGTGGGCTGAAATCTTCTGAACAGGGGAACTGTTGTAGTTCAGCCAGCTGATGGTGATGATGAGGGGTTTGGAGGTGTAGGGCTTGGTGCTTCTGGAAGTGCTCAGACAGAGGGGATGTTGGAACAGGATGGTGTTTCCCTCGGGAGAATGGAGGGGGGTTGGGAATAGATTGTACTTCTCTGTGTGAAAATAAAACTGTTTTGGAAGCTGACAGGCAGAGAAGGGAGGAGGACATGAGTTCACCCGATGAAGAGGAGTTAGGCAGAGAATCAAGGCTGCTTCTGTGGGGGAAGAAATCCAGGTGCAAGAAGCCGAGTCATGGGAAAGGGAGGCCGAGACAGGATTCTCAAGGCCAATGGAATTCCTTCATGCATTGCTCTCCTTAATTAAGGAAAGGAAGCTGTTAGGTTTCAGATTAAGCAATGGAGTGAGAAGCTCCTGCCTTGTTCCTGGTCATGTTATAGCTTCAAACCAAGTGACCTAGTCAAGTTTTGCTACCAGTCTTGAGGATTTGCCTATGGATTCCAGCTCATGTTTTGTTCCTTGTTTCTTGGATTAAGCAAGCTCAACTCAAACTCCCAAATGTTAGGGTCTATCACCGCCCCCGCCCCCCCCAAACTCTATCTGTGTCCATACTTGGGCATATGGAATATTTGTGCCACGTTTGGTGCAGATCCATCATTGTTTGAGTCCACAGTGCTGTCTGGATGTAAGTGAACTACAACTCCCAAATTCAAGGTCAATGCCCACCAAACCCCTCTAGTGTTTTCTGTTGGTCATGGGAGTCCTGTGTGCCAAGTTTGATTTGAATTCCATCATTGGTGCAGTTCAGAATGGTCTTTGATTGTAAGTAAACTATAAGTCTCAGCAACTACAACTCCCAAAAGACAAAATCATTTTTTTGAGTGAAGGACATACATTGGGTTGTTACGTGTCTTGTGTCCAAATTTGGTGTCAATTCGTCTAGTGGTTTTTTAGTTCTGTTCATCCCACAAACAAACATTACATTTTTATTTATATAGATATATGACAGGAGTTACACTTTAAAAATGTACCTGTTCCGAATTACATGCAAATTCAACTTAAGAGCAAACCTACAGAACCTATCTTGTTAATAACTTAGGGACTGCCTGTAATTATATCATTAGACAGCTCCTAAAACTTAACCAGGACTACAACTGATATTGCAACACCAGATACTGCATTCTGAAAAGATTAGTCCACAAACAGCAGCCTTCTCTCTGCTATTTTCCAGTCATAATGATGATTATTGCTGGGAGAGGCCGTCAGATACATTTATCTTGTTAATTGAGACCACATTCAGATATCAGATAGCGGCAGTTAGGACTTTTTCTCCTGGCTGTCAGTCCATATGAACTGTGGACCTCTTCTGACTGTGCACATGTGTCACTAGACTTTAATTTATTTGAAATCCTGTGTTCTGTCTGCTCTCTTCCCGGCTGCTGTGTGCGAAAGAGTGCTTATCTACATACTCCGTTGGGAAAGAACTGTGTCAAAAACTCAAGGAACTGGAGCGGTTTCTCAAGGAAGAGCCCGACAATGATGAAGAAATAGACATTCTCAACATCACCGAGCCTCTGAAAATAAACATTAAGAAGGAACAAGAAGAGAAGCAAGAGGAGGAAAATTTCTATGTGGAACCCCAGCCTGCGTCGGAGTTTGTGCGTGAAACAGTACAACAGGTAGAGGAAATTGCTTCTAAAATCTAAATAAAATGCTATCTTAAATTGTTTGTGGTGAAACGTATTGTTTTGCAAGTACTGATATCCCACTTCATAAAGTTTTGCAGGGTTTGTTGGTGTTTGTGGACAAGCCCATTTAAAACTTTCTCCCCTAGGTTGCTTATACTGGGAGAATGAGAGTTTCCACGTTTGAACTGATAATTCATTTTAGAAATGATACAGCATGTATATTTTATTTCTGAATAGTTTTGAGATGCAGGCAACAGGTCAATAATTTCATGATTTCATGAAATCCAATTAGTTTGTAGCTTACCATATACCTTCCCTGCCCAGAATGCTAAACTGACCCAGAGAGCCTAAAAATATGGGACAAAATACCCATATTTACCCTAGAGGGCATTTGAGGACATTTTTCAGGGGATGTGATGACCACTGCCCTCTAAGATTGTGGGGGATTTATTTGCCCCCTAGCTTGCCAGGATCTATTCTAGCTTGGTCCCGGTCCGTTTATTTAGGTAAAGGTTTCCCCTGACATTAAGTGTCCGACTCTATGGGGTGGTGCTCATCTCCATTTTTGAACCAAAGAGCCGGCGTTGTCGGTAGACACCTCCAAGTTCATGTGGCCAGCATGACTGCATGGAGCGCCGTTACCTTCCCGCAGAAGCAGGACCTATGGATCTACTCACATTTGCATGTTTTTGAACTGTTAGGTTGGCAGAAGCTGGCCCTAACAGCGGGAGCTCACTTTGCTCCCCGGATTTGAACCAATAATCTTTCTGTCAGCAAGTTCAGCAGGTCAGAGGTTTAACTTGCTGCACCTATAAATAAAATGATGAGTTCTACCTATAAATAAAATGATGAGTTATAAAAATGTGAGTTCAGTTTATCTTTGAGGGGAAAAATATTTTTGTGTGCTATCATAGCCGCACAGGATTTGCTTCTATTTCCAGCCCTCTGGATACAGAAGAATCTCAGATTCTAGGAAATAGAATTTGAAACATGTCAATTGCTCAGACATCAGAAATGCCCAGCAAGCTTATTTTGAAGTAATCTCTGTCCAGTGCAAACTTATGTACTTTTTTTTTGTGCTCTGCAAGACTCACTCCCATGAAAGTATACATCAGAAAGCAAGCTTGGAAGTTTCAGAACCTCTCCAAGGCCACAGTCCTATGCGGACACACTAAGGAAGAAGTCCCATTGAACTCTAAGCAATTATTACCTACTTAAGGTCATTCTGAAGCAGCACTCTGTAGTGCAGTGGTTCTCAACCTGTGGGTCCCCAGGTGTTTTGACCTACAACTCCCAGAAATCCCAGCCAGTTTATGAGCTATTATGATTTCTGGGAGTTGAAGGCCAAAACATCTGGGGACCCACAGATTGAGAACCACTGCTGTAGTGGTTTGAATATTGGACTGTGAATCTGGAGACCAGGGTTCAATTCCCCGCTTGACTATGGAAACCCACTGGTTGAAATTGAGGAGGTCCCACACTCTCAGCCTCAGAATACTATAGTCAGAAACACCTTAGAGGGACATAATAACAGTGTACTTCTAGGAGTTATTCTACTAGCTTCTGTAGCAAACATGTGTTTGTAAGGTTTAATCATCAAGAGCTGTAACCTTTTATTTATGTTCTCCATTTATAGATAGGAATTTCCTTACAGCCTGTAGAGCTTCACAAGAACATATATTCATCAGTAATAGAAGATATGATATTAAAGGTAAGCCATTTTAAAAATCTGCCATTCAGCAAGTCACACCAGAAGCAACTTGCAGTTTCTTATGTCACTTCTGAAATGAAAAAAGCAGGTCAACATTAGGATAATCTAAAACAGCTTGTTATATGAATTGCAGAAACTTTATACGTGTCTGCACATACACAAATGTAACTGATTCACTGCTCTTTTTTGTTTTGTTTTTGTCTGTGCTTTTTATTTAGGTTTTCCTGACCTTATAGAATATGTGCAGGTTATTGCAATATGAAACAAATCAAATATAACATAGTCCTTCTTCAATAATTAAGCTTGTGCCCAATATTATGAGTTGTGATGAGCCTTTAGTCGCATTTTATAAATTTTAATGGTGTGTGATCATTAAGGGCATATTTTGCCTTTTTATGTTCTTCCTTCCTTTAGGCTACTGAACAATTGGCAAGTGACATCCTAAGGAAAGCGTTGGCAATTGGCTGCCAAACAGCTCCACGCAACAGGTATGCTGATCGGTTTCCACTTTTTCTCTGTAAATAGAGAGTGGGCTACATTTTTGCTCTTGTAAAAGGCATGTTGTCTTAAGTGGTGAATGTAGCTGAAACCAGCCCTTCCTGTTATCTCCCTGCTGACATGCTGGTTGATATTGGGAACATCTCTTTAAGACATTACTTGGCTTCGTGTGAAAATAAGGCGGTGCAGCGATAGAATAGGGAGGGTGGCTTGTGGAAATAATTCTCCCTGTAAATGTTGTTCCCAGATGCATTAAATCCCATTATCAGTTTAGTGGCCTATAAAGGGGGCCACAGTAGTGCAGCGGGTTAAACCGCTGAGCAGCTGAACTTGCTGACTGGAAAGTTGGCAGTTTGAATCTGTGGGACAGGGTGAACTCCCATTGTTAGCCTAGCTTCTGCCAACTTAGCAGTTCAAAAACATGCAAATGGGAGTAGCTCAATAAGTACTGGTCCCGCAGAATGGTAACAACACGCCATGTAGTCATGCTGGCCACATGACCTAGGAGAAGTCTACAGACAATGCCAGCTCTTCGGTTTAGAAATTGGGATGAGCACCACCCCCCAGAGTCGAACTCGATTAGACTTAATGTCAAGGGAAAGCCTTTACATTTACTAGGCTGTAAAGAAAGTTCATTCTTATAGGCAACATGATAACCTTTTTTTACTCCCTGCTGCAAAAAAGTCTTCCAAAGCTGCATAATTTTCAGCAGTCCAGACTTCATAAAAATAATTCCATAATATTTGTATAGAAAATCAAGTATCTCCAAAATTGTGAATATGATTGTGTATCGAGGGTATTCTTTCCATTCCTTAGTAGGGAAGTAACAGCAAGCTGCTAGGCTGGGGATCTTAGCCTATGCTTGTTAATCATCTGCATAAGGTTTCCTTACCATCTTCCAGCTGTAGTTTCATCTGCAGTAACTAGCTGGCATTGCCCCCCCCCCCCAAATGTGCGACAGGAAGTTGCTGCCAATTGCAAGAGAAATAAGGTTGAACACTGAAAGCCACCTAATCAGCCTCTCCCAGTAGACTTAAATCAAGGAAAACTCCTCTAAAAGTTCCTCCAGCAACACCAAGAATATCCCTTTGGGCAGCAAAATCAGGCAATTCCAACTGGACAGTCTCTCACGAGGGTCTTCCTCCAGGGGCAAACCAATAATGGGCAACTTGGAAGTCCCTGAACAGACTCAGAAGTGGAGTGGGCAGATCAAAAGACAACGTGAGAAGCTGGGACTACTTAGAAGAATGTTATACCTTGTGCGACAGTAGAGCAGAACAAACAACTCAGCATATGTATGCTTGCCCACAATGCCCTGCCTCATGCACAGAGGAAAAATTGTTTAAAGCTACAGACAATGCAGTTGCTGTTGCCCATTTTTGGTCTAAAACTATCTAGCAGCTTGTGATCCTTTTATCAGTTTTAGATAAACTATTTTATGCAGTGCTTTTGACATGAAATAAAAATCAGCAGAAATTGCCTCTGTCCATACTATGCAATTTATTTACCTCTGATCTTACCACCATCCAAGCAACTAGCTTTTGCCAGTTGAGGTAACATCAGTTTGCCAGTGGAGGAAACACTTCATGTTTCTGATGCATTCATGAAAGCTTGGTCCATATTGATATGTACAGCAAGGCTATTGTTGATCTTATAATTGTTAATTCCATTTGCTTAACCAAGCGTTAATACATATGTTTGACGACTTGCATTCCATTTGGTATATTGTTTCTCTCTCTCTTTCCTCCAGGAGTCCAAGAGAGATCACAGTGATGAATATTCACCAAGCCATCTGCAATATTCCCTATCTGGACTTTCTCACAAACAAGCATATGGGAATCATGAGTGATGAACAGTGATTTGGACGGCAAAGGCATTCATACTGTTCTAGGTATTTCTAAACATGTCTTTGAAGTGCTGCAGATTGGTTTCCTATAATCAGGAGTCCGCAAAGTGGGTCACATCCAGCCCAAGCTCCCTCAAATGTTGAAGAGGGATGAGCTTAATGGCGCACAACTGAGTATTTGGCAACATTTTGCCCTTATTTCACCTTTTTAAGCCTATTGTGGGCTTTTTAGAGTGTGCATCTTTTCTTATGAGCCTTTCTTCAAAAGAGGAAATAACCAGAGTCGGAAATCTGATCTTGTCCTAGTTTGAAAACAAACCTGTGTGAAATCGCCTGAAAATATGGTTGATTTTTTTTCTTTGTTAATTACCCTTTTGAGAAAAGCATCAACCTTTTTTCCTATTCTGTCCAAGAGTCAGCTGTCTGATTTTATTGACGGTTGCTTCTAAACCAGCTTATTGTGATGGTTACGATAATATTAGATCATGGCCTATATTACTGGAGTTAAGTTTTAGCATGGAAAATATTCATTAAACAACCATTTATTAAAGTAATCCAGTAAATAAAAGTTATATCTGTGGACTTGCCATCTCTGTTGTCGTGATGACAAGCAAAGCAATAAATGATGGAATTATTTGGACATAATGCTAAACTATATGTAGCATTGGAAAAAATGCACAGAGTCGAACCATCCTCTGGGCACACCTGGACCCCCTTTCTCCTTGTAGCAAGGATTTGAGAACTTTCCACCACATAAAAACCAACCTGGATCAAACCACGGGTCTGTTGAGTCCGGCATTTTGTTCCCATAGTAGCCAACCAGTTTCCTATGAAAAGCCCATAAGGAGGACATCAACGCAATAGCTTGCATTCATAGAATCATAGAGTTGGAAGAGACCTCATGGGCCATCCAGTCCAACCCCCTGCCAAGAAGCAGGAATATTGCATTCAAAGCACCTCTGACAGATGGCCATCTAGCCTCTGTTTAAAAACCTCCAAAGAAAGAGGTTCCCTAGGTATTAGAATCTCTTCTAGTGAATTGCAGTTTGTGTATTATATGAACTCAGAGAAAATTCATGAATGCTAAACTAGGGGTCATTCCACACAGCCCGATATCCCTGAATATCAAGGCAGAAAAATCTCACAATATCTGCTTTGAACCGGAATATATGACAGTGTGGACTCAAGATATTGTGGGATTTTCTGCTTTGATATCCTAGGATATAGGGCTGTGTGGAAGGGCCTAAGGCTGCTGGAAACAAACCAGCGCCATACTATAGTTAATGCATTTCATTTTCATTAACTGTAGTTGAGATTAACCACGGTTTAGTATAGTGGTTCTCAACCTGTGGGTCCCCAGGTGTTTTGGCCTATAACTCTCAAAAGTCCCAGCCAGTTTACAAGCTGTTAGGATTTCTGGGAGTTGAAGGCCAAAACATCTGGGGACTCACAGGTTGAGAACCACTGGTTTGGTAGAACACTGAAGGCGGTTCTAAAATGGAAGCCAAACCTTCCAGTCTTCTTATGTCCAAGTCATACTGGAGCCATGGTAGGATTGTGTTTGTTAGGTTAGTTCCAGTCCAGTCAGAGATCTGAGTCCAGTCAGAGATCTGTGAAAAGAAGACTTGTCCTGGTCTGAATTTTAGACTGGTACATAGAGAAGCAGCAAAACAGTTCTGATGTAACATGGCAAGCCAGACCTGGCAAACTTTCAGATGCTTGCCTTCTGTAGGCTGGGAAGCCATCCAACATGACTAATATGAAATCAGCTGTTATGAGGAAATGGTTGAACACCCTCATGTCACTTGCCTGGCTTGTGCTTTCTGCTGCAAGAAATAATTTTCAGTCTGGTTTCCTGTGAGCTGCCAAAAACTGAGATCCTTGGCCAGCAAAAATAAAAAAGATTGAATCACAACAGGAAGCTTTTTTTAGATAGTCAAATCTGTTCAAATCTTAATTATTTTTGCTTGTTGATTCTAATACAGTAGAGTCTCGCTTATCCAACCTTCGCTTATCCAACATCCCAAATTATCCAACTCGCCTTGGCTGCTTCTGGCTTGGAAGAATAAAAACAAGGCTCTTCTCTTCCTTAGAGAATTGCAATGAGTCTCCCCTTCCTTCCTTCCTTCCTTCCTCTCTTCCTTTTCTGTTTTCTGCTCTGGACTCCACTTTCCTCCTTGCTGTCTCTCTTTTCCCTGGGGCCTTGCATTCAGCTCAGGCAAGGCTTCGAGGAAGTGGCCTCTGCACAGGTAAACAGGGAGCCCTGTTTACCTGTGGATGCTCCGCTGGCCTTGCTCTCTGACACTCTTGACCTTGGCACCCATCATCGCCTTGTCCCCCTCCCTGCAGCCCCAGCCCAGCTCTCTCTCTCCCCATCCCTCCCTCCCTCTCACCAGTAGCAGAAATGTTCGCTTTATGAAAGAGGAAGGGAAAGAAAGAAAGAAGTGGGCATTGAAGGCGGGAGGCAAGAAAAGGGGGGTCACATGCAGAAGGAGCCTGGAAGTGATGTCAAGAGCCCCTACTCCCTCCCTCCCTCCCTCCTGCCTTTGCTCAGGGTTATTAGGCTTAATCCCTCCATATTATCTGACATTTTCGCTTATCCTAAGGTTCTGGCGGCCCATTTAGGTCGGATAAGCAAGACTCTACTGTATCTCAAATTGTGTAGATCCAGTCTTGCGAGTTCCTGACTATAGGTATTACTACAGCATTAATAAAGCAGGCAAAAAGGAACAAAGCTTTTCCCCCCACAATAAATGGGTTTCCTTCAAGATCTGCCAGTTTTCATGCATGTGATTCCTAGCATTATTGGAGGGATTAGGAACTCTTTGAGTCCATATATAGATTGGGAACTACTGGTTTCGAGTAAGGAACCCTACATGGGGAGCAACAGAACATGTGGATTTCCCTCATCACACAAACACACACACACACATATATATCTGATGAGGGAAATCCACATGTTCTGTTGCTCCCCATGTAGGGTTCCTTTCTCTACACTAGTGGTTCCCAATCTTTGGTCCCCCAGGTGTTTTGGACTTCCCACAAATCTTAGCAGCAAGAAACCTGGCTGGGATTTCTGGGAGTTGAAGTCCAAAACAACTGGAGGACCAAAGGTTGAGAACCACTGCTCTTCACAGTTTCCCTTCTGTGCATGTTTTAATTAGATCTAACCCAGGAGCTTTAAAAAAAATAATGTTAGTCTCTGCAACATTGGGAGGGCATTGGTTGGGAAGGATAATATTAAATATTCCTTCCATGTCCAGAATATTAAGGGTGCCCTTCACTGAGGCAAATGCGGAAGGCTGCAGTGACAGTCAGGAAAAAGACTGTAAGCACAGCATCTGTGAAGAAAGTAAAGCACCGGGGAAATAGGTTGCTCAAGGCAAGTAGATTTTGGCAGGCTTTTCTTCCCACTGTACAGTCCTCCAAAAAAAAAAAAAACTTCAACCACCCGCCTAGGGCATCCCCAGAAATTGGTCCTCTGTGCTTTCTTTTGAGTAAAGCAAAAACGAAGAGGCCTGTGCATACTGCATATTTAATGGGACATGCTGTTTGACCGCCACTAACCAACTCCTTAACTTTTAACTGATCCTCTTAACATTTTACTTCATTGATCTTATTCTTAAGTAGGCATTCAGGAGGGAAATCTGAACAGATCAGTCTAACAGAGGCTGCTCTCCCGAGGTAACAATGGAGGCCATCGTCTGTTGGAAAGGAACTTGGGAAATGTATTGTCAAAGGCTTTAATGGCCGGAATCAATTGGTTGCTGTGAGTTTTTTGGACTGTATGGCCAGGTTCCAGAAGCATTCTCTCCTGACATTTCACCTGCATCTATGGCAGGCATTCTCAGAAGTTGTGAGGTTTGTTGGAAACTAGGAAAGTGGGGTTTATGTATCTGTGGAATGTCCAGGGTGAGAGAAAGAAGTCTTTTTTGTTTGAGGCAGGTGTGGGTGTTGCATTTGGCCCCCTTGATTAGCATTTAATGGGCTTACAGTTTCAAGGTCTGGCTGCTTCCTGTCTGGGAGAATCCAGTTAATCATCTCCCAGCAAAGGATGCCCCAGGCAGGGAGCACCCAGACATTGAAGCTGAAAGGCCATTCAATGCTAATCAAGGTGGCCAATTACAATAGCCACACAGGGTGGGAGTTCTTTCTCCCACCCTGGACATTCCACGGATATATAAATCCCATTTTTCTAGTTTCCAACAGACCCCACAACCTCTGAGGATACCTTCCATAGATGCAGGTGAAACATCAGGAGAGAATGCTTCTGGAGCATGGCCATACAGCCCGGAAAACTCACAGAAAGCCAACTTGGGAAAGCTCCTTTTTGGAATCACAACTCCTACAATTCCTAGAAGTCTTTTATGAGCTATTATAGCTTTTAAAATTGTACAAGTAATAGAAGGGGAAAAATAATAGCATGCTGGATTTGCATTTGTTTGGGCAGACTTTTCCTTCACTGGCAAATAAAAAGTGTTTGTTCAGCAGATACTTTGGAATGATTTCTATTAATATGTCTTTGCAATGAAGCCAAAGTTTTTAAAAAATCTGACACTGCATTAGCTCCTTTCAAATAAATTTAAGAGTACTTGTTGTTCAGATTGGTTGTGGTCTTAAACTGGGGTCAGGAAGCATGCAGCCATTCAGATGTTGGCCAGAGGTCCCAGCAGCCCAGAGCAGAATAGCCAGTGCTGGGAACTGTGCCCTGGAAGGCCATATGATTCCCACCCCTGACATAAACTCTCTGTGTTAACTGTATTATAATGTATAATGGTGTAATATACATTTATAATAAATTTTCTTTATTAAACATGGTCGGGCTCGGTATCTTTTTTTTCCTGCTCTCTCTCTGCTGAGTCAAGCTACTTTCTTGTACATCTGCTGGGTTGACAGAAGCAGGAAGGTGATTGGCAGGAGTCGTGCCGGCGCAAGGCTGTTTCATGCTGTTGTCACTTCTGCTTCTAAAAAGATCTCACCCCAAAGCAAATGTCTGCCTTCAAAAGCACTGTGTAAGTGTGTGGGGGTGGTGATGTCCTATGCAGCAAGATCAGAAACCACCCAATCCAAGGGAAATGCGGTCTACTTCTGAATCATTCTTATCCTCTTTTCAATATTTATCTTTATCTTTCAATATTTAAAGCGTCAACTTGGAAGAATACCCTCAAGGCCAACCCAAAAAAGGTTTTAAAACCTTTTCTTAATTGCCTGTACGTACTGATGTTTTTGGCACTCACTTTACCAGCAAATAATAATAATACTTTATTTATATTCCGCCCTTCTCCCTGAGGGGACTGCTATATGTAAGCAGACACAGGCAAACATTCAATGCCTTATTGCAATGACATACAATGAGACACAAACACACAGACAAAGGCAAAGGCTTCTCCTTTCATTTCCGGCTCGAGGCGGTGCTCAACTCCGACTCTGAGGGAGGTGGTCATTCTCCATTTCCAAGCCAAGGAGCCTGCATCCGTACACACCTCCTGGTTGTGTGGCCGGCATGACTGCTTGGAGTGATTTTTGCCTTTTCCCGCTGAAGCAGTACCTATTGATCTACTCATATTTGCATGTTTTCAACTGCTAGGTTGGCAGGAGCTAGAGTGAACAGTGGGAGATCACCCTGTCTTGCAGATTTGAACTGCTAACCTTCAGATCAGCAGTTCAGCAGCACAAGGGCTTAATCCTGTGGTTCTCAACCTGGGGTCCCCAGATGTTTTTGGCCTTCAATTCCCAAAAATCCTAACAGCTGGTAAACTGGCTGGGATTTCTAGGAGTTGTAGGCCAAAACCATCTGGGTACTCTGTCAGTGGCATCGACCGCACAGCAAGGCAAGGAACACAATCATCACAGTCACTTTTAGAATATAAACTACTTTATTCACAGCTATAAACAGTAGCACATCGTAAAACTGCTTCCTCTCTGTCCGGTAGCTACATTGTGAACATGCTGTTATCGGTACTAGTCCACACCTCCTGCATTCCAGAGTGACGTGTGACGTACGACGCACTATGCTGTGTCCATTGCTCTGTACACTTAGATTTATGACCTCTCTAGGAATGCCATTCCCTCCATGGTACAGTTGACTCTTTCCACACATAAATACTCTCAGCACATAGCATTGCATTTTAAACATACATACATACATACATACATACTTTGAAATTACATTACACATCGCAAAAACACTTCAACAGACCCCAGGTTGAGAACCACTGGCTTAACCCATTGCATCACCATGGCCCCTCAAATGATGTGCATCCTCTTTTTAATGCTCTGAATTGGTATCATTCTAACCACTCAGCAAAAAACCCTGCATGCTTAGAAACTGAAATACAGTTTAATGTTGGAAGTGTAGTGAGAATATGTGACAACGTTAGAATCCAGACACAGAATGGGAATTACTATCCTTCTTAGGTGATCCCCTGTAGCCCGAGGATAATGGTCCTTCAAGTTCAGTGCCTTAGCAATGGATACATAGGTGGCTGTGGATCTCTATTCTTTACCTGCATGTTCTCCTGCAGTGAGGACATCGTTTTCCAGGTGGAAGGCGGTCTCGGTCAGGGTTGGCTTGACACTCCTTCCTCTTGGCACATTTCTCCCTCTCACCCTCCATTCATGCCTCTTTGAATTCTGCAGCACTGCTGGTCACAGCTGACCTCAAGTTAGGGTGCTCAAGGGCCAGGGCTTCCCAGTTCTCGGTGTCTATGCCACAGTTTTTAAGGCTGGCTTTGAGACCATCTTTAAATCTCTTTTCCTGTCCACCGTTACGTATCCCATTCTTGAGTTGGGAGTATAGTAACTGCTTTGGGAGACAGTGACCAGGCATTCGAACAACGTGGCCAATCCAGTGGAGTTGATGGCATAGGAGCATCGCTTCAGTGCTGGTGGTCTTTGCTTCTTCCAGCACACTGACATTTGTCCACCTGTCTTCCCAAGAAATTTGAAGGATTTTCCGGAGGAAACGCTGATGGAATTCTTCTAGGAGTTGAGTGTGACATCTGTAGTCAGTCCACATTTTGCAGGCGTATAGCAGAGTTGGGAAGACAGTATCTTTATAAACAATCACTTACCCAGATTGTAGGACACCCTCCAAAGCAAAATTATCTGCAGGGAGTTTTTCTCTCCAAGAAGTATTCTCCATTGGATTCTGGCAGCAGCAAGGAAGAACCTCAAAGGAAATGTCCACTTTTATGTTGTAGGCCTCTAATAAAATTCTATGCAACTATTCAGCTCTGTGCACAATTCCTTCAATACCCTTACTATCTCTCAATTATGTGAATACAAGAAATGCAGCCATTTTCTCTCTTGAACTGGGAATTAACTTGGATTTAAATAAAATGTCAATAGTACAAAAAAGGACAGTTGTAATTGGACTGAACCACAGTTCTTGTGCAATGTGTGTTGCCTAAGCAAACAATTGCCACCACAACATAGATATAAGAAATGGATTCTAGGAAAGTTATTTTGATTGAAACCTCTTGCATTGTAAGTAATGTGAAGCAGGTCTAGTAACATTAACTTACTGCAGTTTATATGCATCGGTTCAATTGGCCAGACCTTTCCAAGTACATACAAGCTGAGTGATTCATAATTCATAATTATGAAACACTCCAAACCCAACATTGGCCACAAGGGTTTCTGAGGCAGTTGCACTTTTGCTTTCTGTAGAGAAACTTTCATGGACAATATTGCTTAAAATATTGTATTAAATTAGCTTGAGGCTAATATATAATATATAACCTATATATCAGGCATGGTCAAACTTCAGCCCTCTGGGTGTTTTGGATTTCAGCTCCTAACTGCCAGCAAGCTGGCTGGAATTTCTGGGAGTTGAAGTCCAAAACACCTGGAGGGCCAAAGTTTGCCCATGACCGGTATATCTGAAACGTATACCTTATAGCAGTGGTTCTCAACCTGTGGGTCCCCAGATGTATTGGCCTTCAACTCACAGAAATCCTAACAGCTGGTAAACTGACTGGGATTTCTGGGATTTGTACGCCAAAATACCTGGGGATCTGCAGTTTGAGAAC